TTTTGGCCTCGGGTTATATTATCTTAAATTAAGAGCTTGTTACTTTATTGTACATGTAGCAGCAGTAGTAAATATATCCTACATCTGTGGCGGCCTATACCCTGGGATTCATTCAAATGAATGGAGCACACTAGTGCTCTTGAGCGGCTCCCATTCCTTTCAATGGGGCTTGTGCTGCAGAAATTTCCTGCCAGAGTATGCTCACAATTTACAACTCATCTGTCAGCACGCACAACATGCTGCTTATATGTAAATAAAAATAAATCACCAGTTTATTTACTTTTCAAGTGTTATATAATGATTCCTTCGAAAGTTACATATTCCCTGAAAAACGAAAAACGATGAGTTACCACTGATTACTATTCATGCTTTCCCAACAGACAGTAGGCACCTGAATGTGTTGCTATACTTGAAATAAAACAGTACTTTCAGATGCAAACTTCAGGCAATTTAAGGGAAATATAGCCATTCTGGTATTTTAAAATCCCCTACCTAGTTACTGTGAAATGAAGTCTGCATATGGCATATAGTGTACCCAAGAGATCTGGGGGGGGGGAAGGTGGGGGAGGCGTTTAACAATGCAGCCGCATCTCCTTCTGCATCCATACAGGCCGTCATTTTTTTTTCATGTACAGAGATTTGAAATACGGTATAAGCAACAAAATGAATTGATTTAATGATTCCATGAGCATTGGTAGTTTCCTTATAGTGCAATCTGATGTAAAATTCGTAAAGAAGAGAAATGTTCCAGTTAGTTTATAAAAAAAAAAACCCCACCAAAATATTTGACAGTTAAATAAACAAGTGAAAAAAGCTAATTCACAGGAGAGACTAAGATTTTATCAGGCATACAGGATTAATCTTTATTGAATAGAACCATTCACAAATCAAAACTTACTCTACCCCAGTACTTTCATACAGCGCTAATCAATTACAAACCTTTTCTAGTGATTCAAAATCCATGTGCTTTTAATTTTATACACTGGTGGTCTAAAATATAGAAATGAGGCTCAGCTAAGTCAGTCTGTATAGAAACATTTGCTCCCCCCTCCCAATAAATATTCATCTGGAGGTTTTCTTAGAGAGAGCTGCTCATATGAAGACTGTGGTAATATTTTTATACTGTACCTCCTTGTTGAAGTAAAGGTTAGGGGTTATCAAAATACCTCAACTGTATATACAAAAAAGGGGGGAAAGGGAAAAGGTAAGTATTCACATGAAAAATCCAAGGGAACTATATTATTTATTTTTGCATTTCCTATGATTAATGATGCACCAGTGCATACTTGAAAACTGAAGTCAAAGGAGGGGTAACACCTCAAATTCCTTTATAAAATGGACAAACGTCAAAGCTGGTAGGCTGTGTTAGCTAGCCGATCAGAAATATTTAAAAGACTCTGCCACCCCTACAGTATCACTGGAAATCCTGATATGCACTGTAATTTCATAGGGGGTGGTCTAATAATGTTGTTACAGCATGCATTTAGCACAATATTTCAGTTTTGTTTCTTCAGTGGGATGGAGTATTTTATTCACATTTTTAACAGCACAACCCTATGAATGTTAACCCAAGTCCCACTGTGTTCCCTGGAGCAGACCCACTAGAAAGTGTGTTTCAGTTTGCAGCATAAAAGGCTCAATTTCATTTTAAAATTTTCAGGCTACATGTGTCAAATTACCTTAACTGCATTCATAATTCCTAATGCTTTGCCGGCATGGGGATTTTTTTTTTAAGGCAATGAAAAGCATCCTGAAGGAACTGTTGAGGACAAGCTTTTATAGGCACTAGACATACTGTATTGTAACCTCTCCCTTTCCAAACTTCGCTAATAATCACGATATGGAATCACAGAAATAATATTCTTGCTATTGGTATCCAGGAAAATCCTACTTTGGCTATTGCAGGTGATATTGCATAAGTAAGAGAATTCATTGAATATGCATAATTATTAAAGCATTACAATAACCAGCCCGTTTGCTATGCCCTATAGCGGGGGGGTGTGTGTCTGTGGCCCTCCAGAGGTTGTTAAGACTCCAACTCCCAGCAGCCCCTTCAGCATGTTGTAATCTAACAACAGCTGCAGGGCCACAGGTTACAGAGGACGTTCAAGGTAACAGCAGAATTGGAAAGGTAAACCTGTCACTTTTTAAGCTTCTGGAGATCCAACTTTCCCAGGGCAGTTATTTTTAATGTAAAAAAAACACCAATGCCAAGTATTCTTCTTCAAACATGCATATTCTTCTCAGGATTTTTGTTCTAATACTCCCAATTAGACTTTTTGAAAAGTATGTATTGGGGTGCAATCCTATGCAGACTTACTTGGGTGTTTAATTAGACAAGCTGTGACTTACTTTCATGTGTATGGTGACTGAGGTCCTAGTTATAAGGACAAATCAAGGAAACACATTTTCTCCAGTAAGTTTTTTCCTCCAAAAATGTCAGGCTTTTCTGTAACCACAGGCTTTTGTCCACAGATAAGAGAAAGCCACATAATTTTTGAGAGACTCTCGCTCTCAGTCTCTGGTTACAAAGCTGTGCCAGTTCCATCTGAATTATACCACTGAGCAGGGCTGCCATTCTCCACAATCCGTGGGAGTTCAATGGATGACTTGTTCTTTGACTGCAGCCCCCAAGTTGCGTCTCCATCCTTATTCCCTCCACCTGAAGCTCATTATTTACTGTCTCTCAGGTGTTTTGTTTTTAGACTAATGACATTTCCTTTCATGAACAAGCCATTAGTAATAGTGGTCACAATTTAATTTATTTAACGGATTTTTACCCCATCATAAGGAAGACTCAAGGTAGTTTATAACATCAAACATCAACAGAAAATTAAAATAATACCCTAACAGCATAAGAAAAGAAAAGAACAACCTAGTGTGTGAGAGTTCTGTTGTTAAGCCCACAGAAGCTACTGGGCTGGACTCTAGCAGAGAGCTCTCACACATGCATACGAAGAGTAACATTTTAAAGATCAGCATCAGTAAAAATAGGTTTTTACACAATAGTTACTGCAGCATAAAGCTGCTTTAACACCATCCCTACAAGAAGTATCCATTATTCCTGCATGTTTCCTACACACACACCAGACACCCCCAAAAGAGAATACTATGTCATCCTCCAACCGCTGCTCTGGGCTTCAACCTGTAGCTATTAGCTTCCTATTTTGTTACAAACTTGCCCTGGAGATTTGGAGAAGGGGGATGGGAAAGAAAGAGCAACTTTGTACGGACCTCTGACGATTAACTTACTATGAGAGAGTAATTTCCAATTCATGGGGAAATGGCAGGATTTATTTAGGTTAAATGATATGTTTAAAATAGTTATGCTACAAAATCTAGTTTTCCAATTTGATCTGTGTATGAGAAAAGTACCAAAGATATTTTCAATTTTATCTAAACTCACTCTTTCTAAAACTAAGAATTACTTGTCCATTGTGTCAGATGAAGAATCTCAGTCCTCTCTCAACGTAAGTTTATCCACATTGCACTTTTAAATTAAGTTTTATGTATTTTCAAGTTTGTCAAAAAATGTTTTATCATAACTGAAAAAATTAATCTTAATTATTTTAAGTGAAGCTTAAAACTATTATTTCCTCTGCTGTCTGTTTTTTAGATGTGATACAACAATTAAAGTCAGAAACTTTTAGAATTAAAAATAGCTTTTAACTTTCAACGTGTTAAAGTAAAAAAAAAAAAAACACCTGTGGCAAATATGTTTTGGCAGACATTCAAACATAATGAATTTGTTGCTGTGTATTTTTGATATAGACATGGGCTGCATCATGGGCCATAATCATAAACGCACACTTCCAAGCGCTTTCCCATTCGAAATCAATGGGATTTACCACCCCCCAACTCATAGGTTTAGGCGCATTGCTAAACACGCCAAGCTAAAATGCATTCCTTGGAAGGCAGCCCAACTGATTAGGAACAGTAACCTGAAAGCAATTTCATATAACCAATGATACTGGTTTCCAAATAAAATGTATTGAGGATCCCTGAGCAAGTGGCTTTTTGTACACACAATATATTTAATTATTTTTCCTCCTAAAATTATTTGGAAAGCATCTTGCAAAAAGGCTATTGCCTGCAAGACTGGAAATGTACACAGTCATTTCTCCCATATTTATTCAAACCATAAAGTAATATTATTTATTTATCTCCTTATGATCAGACATTCTGTATTTAAATCACTTCATGAAAGCCATGCACACAATTACTAAGAGTGCACTTAGGAACACACTACAGAAAAAGGACAGGTTAGACTATCAGTAATACTAACACCAGTTATTTTGAAGCCTTTGTGTGCCAAATAAAATTAACCGCCATGCTTTACATGTAAGCTGAGGGGATACTTATACGAAATATATACATATGCAATGTTATGGAACCAACCCTAGGTCCCTCCAGGCACTGGGAAAGGAAAAAGGCTCTCAATAAGTAAATTTGGCATATTTTACTAGAACAATAATCTTTATTATGGGATCCATATTCAACATTTATTTTTGCACCTACAAACACACAGCAATGTTGCTAAGTAAGTTTATTTCATTTCACTATTTCTGTACTCCCTTTTTTCGTGGAATTTGAGGCAGCGTGTGTCGAGTTCCTGAGTGGTCAGCAAGTCTGGCACCAGCAAAGCCTGGGCCCAAGGTTGCTGCGTCAGGTGCTTCTGGCCCAAAGGACCCACATCATCACAGTCCCGTTCTAGCAGTTCACTTGGAGGCTATAGCAAACCACCCTGGGACTTTCAGTAAAAAATAAGCAAATCACTGAAGGATCCTTAATCTTAGGATGCAACCCAAAAAGCTCTTTTGGGCATACCAAGAACTTGCATTCACTCTGTGTGTGACGTAGGAAGCTACTATTCCCCAAGTTTTGTTGTTGTTTTTTAAAAAAGGTCTATAGATTAAACAAAAAAGTGCACTTCATTTTGTTTTTCCAGGAAATTGTTAATAATTGCAATGCTGTGCTACCTGGTTAGGATTTATTTTCTTGAGAATACGTTATAGGAATCTTGTAAAGTAATGATAATTAAACTCAATGGTAACTAAGGAGTTTACACAAAATGCTACATAACTCATTTATTTTTAGTCAAAATACAATAGGTTATTACACTTCTGTTTCTTCACCTATAAAGGGAATGTTCTTGTGTGAAGAACTGTAAGACTGCACTAAACCTTTAATGGTGTTATCACGGTTGCAATTATCTCGGTTGGTATAGAAAGCAGAGATGCAAACATAACCAAAGTTGAGTATTAGGCAGCAATTCTGCACTTACTTACCTGGGAATAAGCCCCATTAAATTCAATTGGACCTACCACTGAGTACCCAGGTCCTGAATTGCACCATGAAATACTTGCAGTTGGGCTGATGTTTAGAAACAACCATTTTGAAGAGTACAGGCTTTTCAGTATCTAACTGGGAAATGGTAAGAAAAGCATTCTGCTGCCTTCAAGTGCACAACAATGAAACGATCTATAAATATGCTGCACCAAACAATAATTTATTCATTTAGAATACATGTTGCAGCGAAAAGTTCTCCAAGTGTCCTTTCTTCTGAGAAACTCCTTTTCATGATACACAGAATAATCGGAGAAGCACTCCAAGACTGCTTCTTCCTAGGGCAGCGCTGTGAAGCACTGGAGAAGCAGAAGGTCAACAATGCACAATGTGGACATAAAAGCAGCCTTGTGAGACACACAGGTAGCAAGTGTTGGCCCTGTATTTATTTCCCCAACTAATCAGTGCTATTTGCTTCCCTGAAGTAAAATTTCACTAAATTATATTTACAAAAGGATCCTATAGCTTCCCAGCTTTGCTGCAAGCAATATTAGGATTCCATTCAAAGGACCTTTTGCCTCAAGAGCTGCAGCCATTGCAACAGTGACGGCCTTTTTCAAAATGACCAGGCCTCACCGGGGAGCCTGGCTTCCCTCCTCTTCCTCCCGGAGGAGTTTTCAATGACGGGCTCTCAGTTCATTTCACTTCTTTCAAATTCACTCCTATTCAGTGAATTCAGAGTTCAGGATGGCATACAGAATTTGTTGTTGTTGCTGTTGTTGTCATCTAGATCATATCACAGTGACCCTGTAAACTTTTCCTATCTAACCCTAAACTGCAAAATTAGAAACATAAAAAACCCAAGACAAGCAGGGATGTTTATTGACATTTTATTATTTAAAACATGCTTCATACAGTTATTTAGCAAAGAAGGGAATATTAAACCAAAAAAAGCTCAGTTTTCAGACTCCAAAAATCCATAAGGAATTGTAAATTAAAGTGACTGATTAATCCAGTCAAAGAAGTGCTTATTTTAGAAAGTTACATAAATTGTTCGCAAAACCTGAACATATGAATCATTGCAATAATAATTTCCTGTAAAAAGTGCCACTGTGTCTGTTATAAAAATAATACATGAAACAGATTTTCTAATGATGTTCTGCATAATGAGAAGAGTAACTTAAGTTTGTGTACTGTATATAAAACATTTTTCATTCACTCATTTCTAATGGTACAAACAAAGAAGTATTAAATATATTTTTGGTAAACGTTAGACCGAGCCTGCAATCCTACAGATCCTTCCCCATTAATTCAGTGGGTCTTACTTCTGAGTAAACATGCATAAGGTTGGTCTGTGATAGCATTAATTCCCTGTTTATTTTAAGGCAAATTTGCAGTGCACACACAGATACTGATAGTTCTCTATGCTTACATGGATGAAACATTCCAATTCTGAATAAAGTTATCCCTTGACTTTCCTTTTAGAAACAGATATTTTAGTGGCTTATTCAAAGCTTGCAAAGTACTATTTTCTCTTTTACTTTTCTTTTCCATATGCATCTAAAGAGCAACTCCAATTAATTTTTCTCCGCCTCCTTCAACTTTAGCACACTTACTTTTAAAATATGCGAGCCTAAAATGTAGAAGGATTTTTAAAGAGATGGAAGGGGGAAAGAGAGGGTCAGTTGTAAAACACTAGTACAATCGAGGCAGTAATCAATGAATTATGATCTGGCTATAACACAATATATAGTGGTATGATCTGAATAAATGTACGTAACTGTATGACAGCAGACAAATGCTGCAGTCACTCAATACAACACAAAGGAAATGTGTCAATACTGCCTTAATACTCCCTGCATATTACAGAAAAACAAGTCAGTAAAAATGTAAACACCATTTACAGAGCTCACAAGACATACTAGACAAACTGCTGATGAATGGCAGTTATATTTACTCAGGCAAAAGATGAAAAATAATTGAATCGATTAGTAGCTTTCTGGCTGTGATAAAATGCAACAAAATCTGTTTCCAGGATTCACACCATCTCTAAAATGTTTTAAAATATTCTTTTTTCGCTTCTCCTCCTGCCCCCATCCCCTTTCTCTCCTTCACATACCTGGTTCTTATCAACTACTGAAGCATCTTCATCCTCTTGGATGCTAACATTCCTATTCAACTTATAGCAAGCACAGTACAATTTACATACATCTATGCAAGGTTTGAAGATAATGTTGTTAGTTGCCTGTGTGATCTGATATTTTCAGTCCGATGATACCTTCCAGAAGAAATACAGGGTTTCTGCATACAGTAACACGCCTTGAGCAAACCCTTTCTGCTGCACCATAATGATGCGATCCAAAAACTCAAGGGTACCTTAAACAACAGGCTACCTGTTCTAGCCATGCTCAGGAATGTGGCGAAATCATTTTTATTGATTTAACCTTTACAGGAATGCTACATATCCTCCGAGTAAAACATTTCTAATGTATTTATAATATGATACACCTTTGAGAAGTCTAAATTAAAAAAGAAAAAAGATCTCACAGAATAAGACACACACACCCCGCACTTCAAGATTATGTTCACTTTTCCAATAAGTTGATAAAACAAGTTTTCACAATTTTTAAGCCTACATTTAGCTTCAATGGACAGACACAGGAAAGTAATCCACCAAATGCTATTTCTACACAAGTACCACTTAACTAAAAGCTAGAGTCGGGGTAGTGATTGGTAGATTAAGCACATAGGTAGAAATCAAAATGCATTCACAACTTGTGGCCCCAAGTCAATGCATTTTGGCCAAGTCCTTAAGAACCTGGCATGCGAAGCAAGGGGAGATGCTATCCTTCGGAAGAGTTGTCATGCATGGCATCATACATGCCCCTCAAAAGAAAGAGGGCTTTTCCCTCTCTCTCTCCTCTCCCCGTGAGGCCCCTGCACCCCTGGAATTGTCTCGGAAATGTGGTCCATTTCTGAACGCCTCAAATTTTATGACATTTGAAAGCCAGGCTAAAGAAGGCAAGGGTGGTAATAGGCCAAGTATTCAGTTAATCAGTTTGTCAGTGAGCATGTATCTAAATTTCCTAAATTGTGACGATAAGAAGAGACAATAAAAACATGACGGAGAGCCAAACTAGGCACAGCGACATTCAGCAACTGCATGAATCATTTTTAAAACGTGAACTACAGGTGTAGGGAGAGTGATCTGGGGCAAAGGCGCCTTTATGCTTTTGTCCCTTAAAGGAGCCCGTATTTACCTGATCAGGCTGATGCACCTGCAATTTGCTTTGCTGCAGGAGCTCCCATTTCCTCCAGTGGGAACCTTTTCCAATGCAAACAGCACATTGGGGATCAATATCACAGTAGGAGAGGAAGGGTTATGCCAGGGATGGGGGAAATGCAGCCTGCCAGGTGTTAGAGCGCAACTGCCACCATCCATCCAGACCACTGGTGATGCTGGCTGTGGCTGATAGGGCAATATCTGGAGGGCCACAGGTTCTCCAACTGTGCTCTGTATAGCACTTCCACTCCCATGCACAACAGATGGCAGACAGGTCACTGATACACTTTTAGTTGGCACATCTAGAATGAGGCTCCATGTTGCCTTGCACAAGAAGTGGGAATTCTCATGTTCCCACTTATTGAAGCAGGGCAGCAAAAAATTCCCTGAAAATATACCCTAGAGAAAGAAGTCTAATCTTTGGAAACAAGTCCACTGAAATTAATGGGACTTACCCTCTAGGCCAGGGGTTGTCAACCTGGTCCCTACCGCCCACTAGTGGGCATTTCAGGATTCTAGGTGGGCGGTAAGGGGTTCTACGGCACAAGCTGAATCCTCCTTCCATCGAGCACTGGGGGGCAGTAAGGAAATTTTACCATCAAGAAAGATGCATTAGTGGGTGGTAGGTATAAAAAGGTTGACTACCCCTGCTCTAGGCAATTCTAAAATTGAGTTGCATATACTAGCAAATCTTTCTCTGAAATATATTCTGGAGTGGATGCAACACACCTTAGTAGTTAAGATCAACATTTATCTGCATGTACAAGTGGGGCGGGAGCAGTCAGATAGATAAGAGGGAGCGCTTTCCTCAATCCTAATAAATGATACCCCAAGAAACACAAGCTTTACAAAGGCCAGAACCCTTGCAAGCACATAGAAGCCTAGCCTGGGAGTGGGATTTGTGTTGAGGGCATGGGTCTCCTAGCATGAATTCTCCATTCCTTGTTATTGAAGCTACCAGCATGAGTTTGACCGAACTGCGGGAGGCAGTGGAAGACAGGAGTGCCTGGCGTGCTCTGGTCCAGGGGGGTCACGAAGAGTCGGACACAACTAACGACTAAACAACAACAAACAACAATTCCCACCCCTAGGCTCTTCCACCACTGTTTTCCTTCTCTCCCCATCAGGGCCCCTCAACATTTCATGCCTCCTGGAGGGCAGTGACCAAGCCCAGTCCTTAAAGGCTTATTTTGGGTTCCCCTTTTCATTCTGTTCTATGAGGCTTCATCTGCATCTGAAAAAAACTGTATAGTCCAGTTTGGCACCTTAATAAGAAGGTTTCTTGGGGTATCATTGGTCTCTTAGCAGACTATGGCTATCTTGGATAGGAGTGTGAAGAGCCCATCTCCCCAGCAACTGCCTATCTTGTCAAAGGGAATCTGCCTCAATCTTGGCTGTGGGTCTTTACAATGACGTTGGAAGGAGAAATATTATCTTACTGCCAGTAATTAACAGATCACAAAGTTACCCCAACACTGCTGAATTATCAACTTTATACCATTTTTTTTGTTTTGTTGATTCAGCCACCCTGTGTATGAGAAGGTTAGCAAAGGTGGATTTTAAATCAACAGGTATTCGTGTTCTTGCTCCAAGTAGTCAATGTACAGCAAATATGTTTACCAAGATATAGTAAAATCTACATATTGAAAGTTATTAGGCAGATATGGTACAGGAAGAAGGCTTAATTCTTATGCTGGCTGTGGTGGTGGGAGGTGGGACTGCCCTCGACAATGGAAATATCTGCCAACGGTGTGAAAGTTAATGATGTGCCTGTGCTAGCAAGGATGGTGCAGTGCTGACCAAGGATATTCCAAACCTGCTCGCTTAACAACGCAGTTGTGAGGTTGCAGTTAATGCTTTGGCTACCCAGGGATCTGTGTGTGTTTGACAGCAGCTGTGTTGCAATGGCACGGTGTAAATCAAGCCCATGTATTGCATGTGGACCCAGGTTTGTAATCCAGGACAGACATGTGGGCAGTTTGAAAAAGTTTCTTGAATCATTAATTTGTGGTCTTGCCACTGTCATGTTGTTTGATTCACTGGGATATTATGGGAATGAACTGTGTGCGTGTTGCTGTTGTTGCTATTACATTTATCACCCACTCTTCACCAGCAGGTCCCAGGTCAGGTTAGAACAGCAGTTCCCAAACTTCTTGAGTCACAGAGCACTTTTCAGGAGAGAAATTCATCAAAGAGTACTATTGCTGCCCTTATGCCAAAGGCACCTATTCCTTTTTCTTTTCCAGTCTCTTAGTGGAGCACTTGGAGATGCTCCGCGGAGAACAGTTTGGGAACTGCTGGGTTAGAACATTTTGAAATTCAGTATTAAAAACAAAGCATTGCCACAGGAACAAGGTCATTGAATACCACTTTGCATCCTAAAAGCTCTATGTAAATGATCAGTGGTACGGATTTACTGTTACGTTAGAGTAATTGCCAAACTGCAAAGCTCTCCAGTGGAATGGGACCACCCCCAGGCATGGTTATCATTTCTGTTTAATGGATCCTCAAGGCATGCATATTTCCTTTTTTTAGTGTGTGTGTGTGGGGGGAGTAAATACAATAAATACAGTTCTCCATTTTTTTCTCCTCATAGAAAACTAGTATATCAGGAAGAAAGGCTGTAGTAGCGTAGATTTCTGGCCAGCAGGGTAGTTTTCTATGAGCTAGTGCAAACATGCTCTCAACCCATTGTTAGGAGATGATGAGCAGGCCATCAGGCCCCGTGCTGGCCTCCTCTCCTCTTAAGACAGTGAGGAAATAACCAATACATTATGAATGCCAAAGAAATAAAACTATTGCAGAGATTAGCCATATTGTACTGTAAAAAGATACCAAGTGTTCTTGATACCTGTCTGTTTGCATTTTTATAAAACATCACAGTTGCATAGGAAAATAGGAAAATGCCAGGTGCAATTGAGAGTTTTATGTAAAGTCCTCACCCCCACTCCAAGAATACTCTTGACAGCACTGCATCAAAGAGTCATATTACAAGAATTACGAGAAAGGAAAACAGAAAAGGGCAGCTTACAATAGCAATATGAAAGGCCACTACTCTTACAAAAACACTTGAGTTATAGCTCAAAATTTCATTTTTTAAAATATTTCTACAATTTAAGATATTCCCGGTCATGAGACTAGGGGATTGAAAAGTGCAGGGTTTTGACGATTAACAAGGAAAGAAGACAAACCCCAAACTTCTCCTAATTCAGCATATAAACCATAGCTGGGATGCAGAGATGTCCCTGCACCAACCAGCCATTTCTGCTTCATGCGATGCTCCTCTAACACGTGGCAGATTCTTGGCGGACTGAGCTCTGGCCTTTGGATCCCAGACTTCTAGCTCTGGCCTTGATGGAGAGGTACAAGGGACCACATTTGTGCATTTGAAGTGTTTCTGGGATATTTGTTTCTTTCCAGCTGCCCAATTCTTACAGCCCCCTCAGCTCCAGGTGTTGATGTTGTTTTTAAGAGCCTCAAAGTTGAATACGGACATTTTATTTTATTTCTCTAACAATTTAAAAGTCACCCTTCTAATCTTCAGCCTGTGAATCTTGAGTGAATCTTGGCCCATAAAGCCATTTCCCCCAAACCATGGCAATCCACCCATCAACTGTGATGCCAGGTTTAATCTTAAAGTTGCTGTGTGATCCTGTTCCTAGGAGGCAACAGGATTTCCAGTTAAGGCAGCAGGATTTAACCCCCACTCATCAGCTGATCCCTCCCAGAGCCTTCCCTGCCATGAGTTCGTTTGCTCCTCCCTAAAACTACAGAAATTAAATTTGTATTCCATTTCTACTTCTATAACTTTTGAATTTTGAGACAAGAGAATACTTACAAATGTTTCATTGTATCAAAAAAAGTAGAATCATAGAATCATAGAGTTGGAAGAGACCACAAGGGCCATCGAGTCCAACCCCCTGCCAAGCAGGAAACACCATCAGAGCACTCCTGACATATGGTTGTCAAGCCTCTGCTTAAAGACCTCCAAAGAAGGAGACTCCACCACACTCCTTGGCAGCAAATTCCACTGTCAAACAGCTCTTACTGTCAGGAAGTTCTTCCTAATGTTTAGGTGGAATCTTCTTTCTTGTAGTTTGGATCCATTGCTCCGTGTCCGCTTCTCTGGAGCAGCAGAAAACAACCTTTCTCCCTCCTCTATGTGACATCCTTTTATATATTGGAACATGGCTATCATATCACCCCTTAACCTCCTCTTCTCCAGGCTAAACATGCCCAGCTCCCTTAGCCGTTCCTCATAAGGCATCGTTTCCAGGCCTTTGACCATTTTGGTTGCCCTCCTCTGGACACGTTCCAGTTTGTCAGTGTCCTTCTTGAACTGTGGTGCCCAGAACTGGACACAGTACTCCAGGTGAGGTCTGACCAGAGCAGAATACAGTGGCACTATTACTTCCCTTGATCTAGATGCTATACTCCTATTGATGCAGCCCAGAATTGCATTGGCTTTTTAGCTGCCGCGTCACACTGTTGGCTCATGTCAAGTTTGTGGTCAACCAAGACTCCTAGATCCTTTTCACATGTACTGCTCTCAAGCCAGGTGTCCCCATCTTGGATTTGTGCCTCTCATTTTTTGCCCAAGTGCAATACTTTACATTTCTCCCTGTTAAAATTCATCTTGTTTGTTTTGGCCCAGTTCTCTAATCTGTCAAGGTCGTTTTGAAGTGTGATCCTGTCCTCTGGGGTGTTAGCCACCCCTCCCAGTATTTTCATAAAATTAGTTTTAAAAAACAAAAGCCAACTAACAAAACCTGCCTCTAGGAGCTTGGAGGTGCTCCTTACCAATAGTGACCCAAGCGGCTTCAGTGGCCCTGCAGAACCTTTTTTGGTTGGTTGGGGAGCTGTGACCTTTCCTGGACAGAAATAGCCTAGCTAGAGTGAGCTATGCTTTGGCAACCTTTAGGTTTAATTACTGCAATGCATTTTATGTGAGTCAGCCACTGAGAATAGTTCGTTTACCTTTAATTACAACTAACTTAATCTGGGTTCAATGCTGTATGCTTTCCAATGGAACATAAATGAGCATGTTAACTGAAACTTTATAGAGCTAAAGGTAAAGGTAAAGGGACCCCTGACCATTAGGTCCAGTCGTTGCCGACTCTGGGGTTGGGGTGCTCATCTCGCTTTACTGGCCAAGGGAGCCGGCATACAGCTTCCGGGTCATGTGGCCAGCATGGCTAAGCCGCTTCTGGTGAACCAGAGCAGCGCACGGAAATGCCGTTTACCTTCCCGCCGGAGCGGTACCTATTTATCTACTTGCACTTGACGTGCTTTCAAACTGCTAGGTTGGCAGGAGCTGGGACCGAGCAATGGGAACTCACCCCGTTGCAGGGATTCGAACCGCCGACCTTCTGATCGGCAAGTCCTAGGCTCTGTGGTTTAACCCACAGCGCCACCCGCGTGAAATACATAGAGCTAATGTATTTCAAAAATCCTATCTGGAATGTATTGGAAAATTCATAAACAAACATAACATGTTACCCAATCATTCAGGTGATTATGCGGGTGCCTATAGATGAGCGGCAAGGCAGGAGACCAAGGCCAGAAAAAATCACGGTGCAATCACAGTAGTTCAATCTGTCTCTTGTCTCCATTAAAGGCATGCAGCAATTAACAAGCTAGAATCTATCTCAAAGCATTGCTGCAGCAATCACATGGAACTGAGAGGACTGGCATTCAAGAAAGAAGGCCAGTCAGAATTAAACATATTCGGAGCATTAGGTACTATACAACTGAGGGCCCTTCAATGGACACCTTGGTCAACCAGCAGAAGCATAGTGAAGAACACTCTCAACAAATGCCTTGTCTCTTCTTATAATCTTCACTGATGCCACAGGATTCCTGGTCAACTTGTTATAATGCTCAGCTTTCTTTACAGTTTAAATCTGTTGCCAACATTTTCTGATAAACCTGCTGTGCTGCACCATTCAACTGTCCTATAAACCGCTCTTTGCCTTCTTCGTGGCCTATCCCACTCTACTAAACCTCTTTTTGAAACTCAATGGGCAGGAGTCATTTAGTCAAGAAAAAATTTCTAACCTTCATGGCTGCCCCCCCCCCCCGCAAATTAAAAACAAAATGGCAGCAATACTACAGAATTGACAACCTGGAGATGAAGCCCAAATTCATTGCGTCTTTCAGTGCCAACAGTTGAGTGAAGCTATTTATGTTGAACAATAAGCTATTTCTGAATACTGCTGAAAGGGTGCAAGCTATTAAATATAGATTATTGTACTTTTCATGGATGGCAGCATGAAAGTTATGTTAATCAACAGCAGCACTACAATATACTTCTACTCAGTAGTACCCTTCCAAGATAAACACTTCCAGAATGTTCCAAAATGTTTCATCTTTCTCCATATTTCATGTATTAGAAACCCTTTAGCATTTTAATTTGCCTCCCCATGAGCTTTTCCAATTTTATGTAATTATTATGGGAATTTGGACACATTATTGTTGCAACTTCCACCTCTTGCATGCAGTGCTTCCAAAATATAGGTTGGCACCTGGCATTGAGAAAAATCTCAGTGACTCAAGTTAAGACATCACACCTGAGGAAAGGGATCGCAACTCAGTGGTAAAGCACATGTGTTGCACACACAAGGTCCCACACACAAATGCATTACATCAATTCAGTAACTCCCACTACAGTTTAACAAAAAATAACAGCACCAGTTTTCCTTCTGACCCAGATTCCGCTCATGATATGGTTGTGGGAGAAATTCAATTCCGTTCACATTTAAAGGCGAATTACCATATTTTTCCCATCTATAAGACACCCCCATGTATAAGACATCCCCTATTTTGGGGGACTCAGATTTAAGAAAATGGGGAAGATGGCCCAGAGTGTGAGATGTCCCCAAATTTTTGACATTATTTTTTAGGAAAAAAACCTAGTCTTATACATGGAAAAATACAGTAATTAACTTTGCCCTTTCCAAAACAATATGAGAAACAAAACACAGCCGTCCTGGAAAATTCATACTTATCCAAATTTTGTTATATGTTTGCATATGTTAAGGGAAAATATGTGCAAAAATGAATATATTAGTGAAAATAACATACAAAAATGCATTATATCAGGAGAAGTTGCTTCCAAAAATGTGTATATCAGTCAAAACTACAAAAAAAAATCTGTCCATTAGGAAAAATTCACACTAAAATGCTGAAGAACTTTCATGAGGATTTTTATTATTCTTGCCAATCGCTACAGAAACATGGCAAGGTTAAGATTGGAAAAGTGTGAAACGGAAAGATTCTCTCAGTCCTGGCTCAGGGCATGTGCATGTATCCTTAGAGCCCACCCAATTCCTTTTAAGACAAGCTGCTCCTGCCCCCTTAATACTTCCACCATCCAACAAGGGCACCTAGAGAAAGGCATTGATTGTCTGCCCACAATGCCCTGTTAGCGACTGGCCAGAGCCTCTTTCAGAAGAGTTTTCATTTCAGCTGGCTTGTGGGGTTCAGACTAAGCATTCAGTTGCGAAGGAGATGTTAGTGCATACTTTATTTGGTTTTTTGTCTAGTTTGTTTCTTAGGCATGGTAGAGCCATAAATCCTCATTACGGCAGATCATGCAACTTACAGCCTCACTGCAGTAGCCTATAGAGCCCTATCATTAAGATACCAATGTGATTATTTAAGTACAAATAGTTCAGACTGACAAGGATATCAGCCTTTTCATGACAGAAGAGCAATGCCTTGTAACACCAACAAAAATATCAGTGTGCCTAAGTGTGCTTGCCTTGACCTGGCAACTTACTCAGAGGGTGACTTCGTTGCTGTGCCTCAGCTTCAGTTCCCATCTGCAAAATGGGAAACTAAATTATCTGCCTCATGGAGCTGTGATTAAATATATTAGATAAGATGTAAAGCACTCTGGGCACCAGAAGAGCTATAGAAGGTTGGCATTTGGTATAATCGTTAACTTGTGCACTGAGCTATTTAAAGCCAAAGAAGTACATTGTGCTCCGAAACCAAAGCCAGCCTGTTACTCACAAGCGCAAAGTTGCATGACTCTATTACGCACACTTCTGACGCTGCATTCAGCTCAATGCAACAAATACAAATTGATTCATAACTAATTATGTTACAAGAAGATTTGGCTCTCAAGTTTTGTTCTGTACAGCACTTCAAAGTATTTTTTCACCAGTGACTCTGAATCATGATCAGGGGGAGACAATGGAGCATCTGTTAACAATGCAGGATTGACTCAACAAAAGAATGATTATTTACGGGTCCCCTTCCATGAACGACCCTTGAAGACTATGGGTCAGCACAATTTTCCCTTACTGAAACCTATTTTTAGAACTAGAAAGCCAGCCCCCCCCCCCCCCGTCTAAGAGGGGGTGGCAGAATGACTGAAAATGATAACAAGTATTATTTTTTATGTATAAAAAATCACATGATCTGGAAGAAAAGCAGACTGCACCAAAAGAAGTTAGAGATGAACACTATCACTCAGAAGAGAGCACTTCCAGGCCTATCGGCAGGCCAAGTGAGGGGGCTAGCCCAGCAGGTGGCACTGAGTGGTAGGAATGGGCAATAAATTGCATGATATTCTATTTGTTATTTCACTTTGGATGCCAGTGGGAAAGAGATGCACTTGTGGGATTTGCTGCCTCAGGTGCCAAATACCTTGACTGGCCTGGGGTACTCTGCGCCATGACTGATGAGGGGGTGTCAATTGCTGCTCCCCCTTATACAACAAAAGGGAGAGAACAGTAGGCAGAAGCATATGCCAGTATGCAATGTCATGGCTTGATGTCAACTTTTACTTTAAGAAAAAATAAAAAAGAGGGAGAAAAATTACTGCAACAACGTGAGTGAAAATAGCTGCTCACCAGTCCCATGGTGGGCCAAGTTTGAGGCCCAGCATGTGCCCACCGCCTTCCTCCGGCAGCCACACTGCTCCGCCGGCCACTGCTGCCCTGCTGCCAATGACTGCCGAGGCTCCTTTGTCTGGGTTTGAAGTAGCCTATCCGTGGCGGCCTGAGGGGAAGGCAAAGAGTGAGCAGCCTTCACTTCAGTCTGCCTTTAAGGGTAAGGAAGGGCCAGCGCAGAGGCCAGCAGAGCAGCTGGCCCCAGAGCGTCTTCAGCATAATTGTGATCAGTAAAGTATTTTTTGCATTTATGCCCATTTCCCCAAGAAGCTCAGGGTAATGCACATTATTAGTCTCTCTCCCATTTCTATTTTCACAAGTGGCCAGAGACCATCTTGGCTGTGAGTCTGGGAAGAGCTGCTCCCTGCCTTGCAGGCCTTTTCCCACCTGGCCTGGGAGGGCGGGGCCTGGACTGACTCCAGCTACAAAAGCTAAGGCTGCTGAACAGACGCCTGGGCTGGGGTATTGTTTAGTGCCCTGAGGTGGTAGTGACCTCCGGTGCACTTGGGGGCGTTGAATATAAATAAGGGGGTAGTGAAAGAATAAAGAAAGATGAGAAGAGAAGAAAATTTTGAAAAACCATTCATACATGTTTCATCTCTTCTGTAATGATGCTTACCGCCAGGTTGGGCACCAATGCAGGATAGTGACAACGCCTCCCCTGGACCTGGCGGTTGTGCTGGAGGCGAGGGTTTTCCCTGGGCTTGGGTAAGCCCTTGTCAGCTTCACTTCCCAGGCCTGGGAAGTTGATCACAGCTTGCTTGCCTGTTTGACCAATGGCAGGTGGGCTGCGGTGCTGCCCCCCCCCCGGGGCGGATTGGACTGCAAATAGCTAATTGTGGTGATTTAAGAATGCTGCCAACAAAACTAGATCCAAGTAATAAATACACTAATAAATTGATAGCAGCAGACCAGGTTCACCCTTCTCATTAGGATTATTTTTAACGTTAAGCATAATTTTTATTTTAATATTATCCTTCATTATCTGTCACTATGGTTGATTTTAATAAATAATGTTATAATTTCAAGCTTCAAGATGTCTTATTTACTGTGTTGTAGTACGTAGGTAATAATATAGAGACATGAAAGAACGCACATTTGTCACTGCATCTTTCCGTTTGTTCACTTAAAGAAGGCAGATTTCTCGGGGGGCACTGAGCAATTTTATCCTGAGAAGGGGGTGGTAGGCCAAATAAGTTTGGGGCCTCTGGCTTAGGGAGTTCTATTGGGTAGAGGTTGTTGCGGTTAACTTTCGGTATCTTCATTTTGGATTTTATGATTTGTGTGGAAATTGATCAGTTTGGTTGTATGCTTTTGATGTTTATTGTTTATTGACTATTTTTGTTATGCTTGTAGTTATATACATTTTTCTGCTGTGGGCCGCCTTGAGCATGGTTTTAATTTGGGAAAACTGGTATGCAACTATAGGCAATCCCCAATTTGCGCTGGGGTTGCGTTCCAGGTCATTGTGTGCGTTGGCCAAGTGCCCCATTACGTCCTCTTCTGGGTCCGAAAATGGCCTGCAGATGTACACAGGCAAAATGGGTTGTCTGCAATACAGGGCTAATATTGACACAGACTTTTACATGTTACTAAATTTATAAAAAGGAAGCACTCTGAGTATCTGAAATACACCATATAACTACTAAGTTTGCATGTTTTTAAAAAATGAATCCCAGCAGGAGCATCGGAGGGAGGGCCTCTGAACCACCATTTTGATTTTATTTCTCTTTGAAGAAACTCTAGCCAGTCAGGAGTCTCTCATAAGTGCATTGGAAGTTGCACTGCATTAGGGCTGGACGCGAAGAGCCTCGAGTGGAGCAGACCAAAGCATGTTTGGTTGGCATGGGAGTTGGGGGGGGAGCAGAATCTGGTTTTGCGCACTGGACTGCGAGGTTTTTATAGTCAGAGGAGGAAAGGAGACTCTTGGTGGCAAGCTGCCTCCCTAAATGTTCCGCTGGCATCATAAAAGGGCAGGGAGGAATCTGGTGTCTTCCTGGCTTGGACTGCCCTGTTTTATTTATTTATTTTTATTTCTTTGTTTTATTTATTTATTTAACGTATATTAAATTTTCATATGGGCTTCTGCAAATTAATTAACTGCCATTAGGAATATTCACTATTTTTAAGGAAACAAAAAACTTAGCAGTAGTTTGAAGAGGACCATAAGTTAATTTTCCTTCTGAGTCCAGGACTGTGTATTTCATAAGGGGGCAGGAGAGTAGTTGATAACAGAGGGACCCTGGCACTGGTAACCTGAATAGCAGGGGTTGTGTGGGGTGGTTGCACACTTCCAGACGCAGCTTTGAGTAGGTAGATGCAGTTGATCAAAAGGTGAAGGAATTCTGAGTTAGGCAAATACCTTCTTTTATTAAATTCAAGAAACTTAGACAACTTAAAGAATTCAGCATCACACTATTACCACTGTTCTGTCTGCAAAAGCAAATCAGCTTGGCAAACAGAATGATCCCCCCTTTCCTGTGCTTTGGGGGTGTCTATGACCCCTTCATAGCTCATCTGGAGGGGTGCAGGGGGGAGAAGCCTCCTTGTGCGCACAGCAGTCCTTACTTCCTCCAAAGGGATTTGTTAGGTGAATCCTTCCCTTTGTGTGACGGTCTGGGTGCTAGCCCCAGTGGAGGACTGGGGGAACTTGCTTCCAAAGTATTTTGAAGTGATCATAAGGTGTGAAAAGTTTGGGTTTATTAGATTCTGACTTCCTGTTTTTCCCCACCAGCCGTATCTTTTTCTCTGAGCAATAGGAGCTTAAAGTTTGTGGGGGGGGGGTGATAAAGTCTGGAGATCTTTAGCCAATGATTATTACCCATGGTTGCCAATCAAGGAGGTTCTTTTTGCATACCAGGGAATAAGCCAGGTGTAGCTGAAATATAAAGGAATATTACTGAATCGAGTACGTGCTGTTTTCTCCATAGGAGTGATACAGTTTCACACATGTAATAGTCAACTATACTGAGGAGTAGGCATCATTTAGCTGTGGTTACTAACATAATCTTACTCCTTTTACTGAGAAGTAAGCCATACTGTGTTCATTTAAGTGGGTATGGAATTGAACTCTAGTCTTCCAGGCCCTATCCCAGCACTCCAATTATTACATTTCTACAAATATAGATGCTCATCTTAAATATTTTTACATTTAAAAATACATTATCAAGTTGCCCAAATGTGTTTTCTTTTCTTTTTACTCTTAATTGGTGTCCTTTGCTTGGATTAGGGAGAGAAACACTCTTGTGCCTTTAAGAGGTATGTGTCAGGCAAATATTATTAAGTACAAAAAAGTGCATTTGGGTGAGCTTTGTTCCTTTTTAAGATAAACTTTCCTAGCACTGGTATTACTAACACAATCCTATTCAGTTTATTCAGAAGTAAGCATTGTCTTCTGTGAGGCTTGTTCCTGAGAGTAAGCACAGGGCTAAAGCCTTTTGTGGTGCCTAAAAATGTTAGTTTTTTCACAACTCATTTACTGTTGGCTTGTTTGTGCGTGTGCATGTGGTTTTTTAAAAACAGAACTGAGAGAGCATTGGTGAACGAGCAGAGACCTGGGCTTCTAGTCATTGCTGAGGAGGTATGACTTACCTCTGTGTACACTCATGACAGCAAGCACTGGACTAAAGCTCTGTTAGGGGCTATGTATTAATAAAATTGCAATTTTGAAGTGTCCACTGTTTCTGTGAAACAAAGGAAGTTAGAAAAAGAACCAGAACAAGTGGAGGCTACACAACTTTCATTCTACCAGAGAAGCAACTCTAAACCAAAGTAAGCCACATCTCAGCTGAGTTAGCTGCTATCTGTAAAAGTTTGATCTCCACAGTATGTTTTCAAAAAAGGAGATTGGAGAGGAAAACAAAATTTGCCAACACCCCAACAGATCTGGTGAAATTGCATGAATGTGCATGTAACATTGTTTGCCTGTTCTGATAGACCCTAGTTGATGTTATGGGGAATTCCAAGCAAATTTGCTCCCTGACCCCATGTCTCTTTATAAGCACAAGAAAAAGGTCGTAAACAACTCATTCAGACTTTAAGTTATTTTTGCACAATGCAGTCTCAGCAAAGCTTCTGGGTTCAAACATGGTAAACAAGGACAGAATGGAATGGAGAAATCCTGTACAACCTCAAATTACAGCCTGGTTAACCAACACTCTCATGGGCAAGATCATTACTGCCATTTCCTTCCAACGTTATCCAAAATTAACTCAAGAGAGAGAGGGAGATGATGTTACTGATGGACATAACAAAAATGACATACAGATTTCAATGGTTTCAATTTTAGGAAGCATAATGAGGAATTAGCAAAGCTAAAGCACAGAAGGTCACATCCAAGCTAGAAGATGGGTTGTCAGTGGTACAGGGTTGGCAACCTATGCGTTTTCATAGTTGAAGTATATTTTGCTCCACAGCCAAGCTATTTTCTGGGTAATCTGCACAATAAAGTCACTACCTTTAAATGCTCCACAACAGGCATGGAAAATATGCATATTGATATGACTGAGGCACTGCATATAAATTTTTGAAGAAATCTCTCGGAATTTCACAGGGTTTCTTTCCTCTCTATGAGTAAAACTTAAGCCAAACCTATCTCAGCTTAACGAAAATTCTATCTGGTAACCATGTGGGTCAGAACTGGTTCCACATCCAATCCCTTGGCTACCCCTACTTTAGAAAGTTAAAAGGATCAAGCTATTCCTGAAGATGCTGGGAAATCACCCACCACAAAGAGAAAGTCGGCAAATTGATGACTGACTCCAGAATCTTCATTCAGTTTTAGTTAGAATTCTTTTTTTACACTGGATGGGGGACTTGAACATTTTACTTTACCAAAATGTTTAATGCACAAAAATCAATGAATGATAAAAATCAAACCAATAATTTAAACTCTTATTTAAAACAGCAGGTAGTACTAGGGAAGAATAAAAAGCCTGCAAGAGAAAAAGGCAGAAGTTGCTATAAGCAAATACTTAGTATTACACAATATTTTTTTGAAAGGCACAAGTAATATTTGCTGTGAGCTTGTGCTGTTCTTATTTGGTGTAATCTACCCTTGTTCCTTTCCTTCAGTTATTGTGACGTCTTGGATGTGTTAGTATAATGTTTGCTCCCATGTTTGTGCATTCCTTGGCATCAAAAACTGTTCTAGCAGTTGATAATGTTTCTTCTGTTTTGGATGTTATTGCGTCTTCTGGCTTAATCCCCCAGTAGAAATTACTGAAACCCAAGCCCCTCGTTTTGGAAGTTCTTTTATTCCTTTTGACAAAACACTGAGATTCCTAGGTTAGAGAACTCAGCATATGTAAATACTTTAAGGAAAACAACTGTTTTAATCATCACAAGAACATGAAGAACTAACATTTTAAAACATATTAATCCAATGTTAAATTGACTATATTAGCCTCTGTCCATCTCCAATTGATTTTAATGTACAGTATATATTTTATAGTGGCAACAAAATGTAGTACATTACATCTGGATTTCAACTTTTTATAACGTAAAATGCCGTTAACACAAATATGGTAACTACTGTTATAAACAGCAGATAGCTTAACAGTCCCCCATTCTCTTTCTCTTGTCATTAAGCAACTTCAGTCTAACCCAGCCTTTCTCAACCCCAGGTTCCCAAGGTGTTCTTGAGCTACAGTTCACATCATCCCTGACCACTGTCCCTGCTGCCTAAGAGAGATGCAGTCCAACAACATCTGGGGACCCACGGTGGAGAAAGGCTGGTCCAGCCCATGGGTGGGGAACCTCAGACCAAGGGCAGTCTGACTCCAGGCCTTTCTCTAGCCTTCTAACTCACCCCAGGCCATAACCCTCACATGCTCCTCAGGGCCTTCTGCCTGGCAGGAATGTGTCAGTCCACATACATCAAGGTGGGGGTGACTGATGTGTGTGCCCACATTTGTACAGAAACCTCTGACTGGGTTGTTGCCTACAAGTGAGAGTTGGTCTGCCCACTTTTTCCTCTGTCGTGCCCTGAGCCCCATGGAAGATGCCCTCTTCCTGGGAAAAAACAAACCCCACCTTGGCCATGACTTAACGGCCACATGCCCTCGTTCAGCGGTTCCTTCCAGGTGAAGAAATTAATTTGCACATAGATGTTTGCTACTTAGAAGAGTTTTCCTATTCACGTCAATTAATGGGCGGCTCCACAGGAGCAAAAGGATGCCTGCGCCAAAGGACATACACACCCCAGCACCTCCATGTCTACAAAGGGCTCTGCACTGTGGGTACAATTTTAAAAGTTGTAGGAATAATAGCATAGTAGGATGGATATGTTGTGGCTTCATCCTGCTGATTATAATATAATCATATAATCAGCTTGATGAAAACACAAAATACTCTCATTATATTTGCCATTTACTTAATGTGATGCTTCAACACGAAAAGACAATCTAAAATAAGACTAAAAACCTGGAGCCTCTTAACACAGTAGAATCAAATATGGCTTGAGTTTTAATTTACCCACACCCACACATTTTGCCTGTAGTACACAATTAATGACAATTGAAGACTAATCATTAAATTGTAATTCTAGTAGATGCCTGCCAAAATTGTACTGCAAAACAAGAGGGAGAGAATCAGAAAAGTCACTTGAACTTCTTTATTTGGTTTCATCACTCAATGTACATTTCATCCCAGAAGACAAATAGTAGTGGGGGGAGGGGTTTTTTAAATCCTCAAACCAGCCCAAGGGAAGAGTTAAAGTGCATCTTCCAAACTGCTGCAGTCCCAAATGGAGCACCCCCAGTTGCTATTAAACTTATTTTAAAAACAGCATGAAATCCAGTCACAGATATTTTGCTGCTATGCCTTGTGTCCTTGATTGGTTACTGCAGCCATGGAGCCAAATATTTAGCTCACAGAATCATAGAACTGTATAGCTGGAAGGGACCCCATGGTCATCTAGTCCACCCCCTGCAATGCAGGACTCTCAGCTAAAGAATCCATGACATACAACCTCTGCTCAAAAACCTCCAGTGAAAGTTTTTAAGGTCCACCACCTTCTGAGGGAGTCTGTTCCACTGTCAAACAGCTCCTGCTGCCAGAAAGGTCTTCCTGATGTTCAGCTGGAATCTCCTTTCTTGTAACATTGACGGGTATTACTGGCAAGCCAGGTGTCCTTCATATCAAGAAGCCAAGAACAAACCTTGGCTTCCCGGCTGTGATCTGTTTGGAGAAACAAGCCCTGAGTGCTGGTTCAGACATGACGCTAGCTAAGCCAGCCGCTCTGTGGTTTGGCCCCTCTTCAACTGAGAGAGAATGGAAGTAGCAGCATTTGACCTGCATTCTCCGGCTTGAAGCTTGTGCACAATATGGTTAATCAAACCCTACTTTTATGTCCAAACCCGGCCTGTAAGTAATTAAGTCATGGGGTGGCTAGCAGGTCTGGCAAGTAACAGGCCTAAAATAAACTAATGGTCAATCGTATGTGAACAAGATCAAAATTAGTTCTATACAGAACAATATTGCTTCCTAATGATGCAAAGATGGAGGAAGGTTTCAGTGAAATCAATATACCTCAAATAAATGCATTTTAGAAGTAGCCTGTAAATTACGTGGTGCAGTTTTTTTTTAAGTTCCTGAAGGATTCTAGATAAGTTCTTGTGGCAACCTATTATAGAGCAGAAGCCAAAGGAAACAATTTTAATATTTATGTCCACAGTCTATTCCTGACATGTAATTATTATTTGCTAATAGTATATTTTTTTCAAGAAAAATGCACACAAATAAACCTACTGGAAGAATTCCACCAGCTCCAGTGAAGTCAACAGAAGAGTTGGTGAAATGTATCTCAGAATCAAAGTCTACTTGTTTGGATTGCTTTTAAAAGTAGAAACAGCACTAGGTCCAAAACACTATGAAGATGTCTAGGTCTTCACTTACATAGCCAATAATAACTTCTGCACTGACAGGAATTGTGTGTATACTGGCAGGGAGGGGAGTTAAGAAAGTGCTTAATCAGGAAGTCAGCAATTATATAAAAATAAAAGCTTCTCTGCTACTTGCCCAAAGAATCAGTTTGGCCTACAACAGCTCACTAGACTCACGTCCTTCCTTTGATTTCCAAGCCCAAGTAATGTTCTGTTATATTTCCTCCCAGTCTGAATATCAAAATATGAATTATTCAATTTAGATAAACGCTTTTAGGGAAACTAACTTTAAAAAGTCCAAGAATTGCCAAGGGAAAGGAAACCTAAGATAAAAAATGTATTTGAAATGAAACATAATTGTATCATTTCCTAGCAAGGCGTCAGAGCCTCACTTAAGTCAGAGAAACTTTATGAGTGAATCCTAGAGTTTCCCACTGACATACTTTGCTGTGGCATATTTTCTCCAGCATGGCACTGATTAAGTGCTACTATGCCAATAGTGTTTGGGTTTCCCATATAATTGGATATTTATGTGCAGGCTACTGAATACCTGGGGCAATGGGTGTTTGGATCACAGTCCTTGACATACAGGTCAGTCACACAAAGTTTTTTTTTTTTTTTTAATTGGAACTTCTAAATTATGGAACCCCATTATGAGCTTTTCTCTGTGCTACTACTATACATGACGTGCTTTTGATGCACTTTGAAACTCTCTGCTTTAGTATTTTAGAAATTGTCATGCAGAGACGCCCTCTACCAAACAGCCAAGAATAAGCCAGTGTGCAAGCATTCTAATGCACAAGGAGGATCTTCTTTCGTGTGATTTTTGGAAATAATTCCACAACTGCTTGGGTACTGCATGGCAATTGCCACTGCACACAGGGTGGTGTAAACCCACAGTTGCAGCAAGTCGTAATATCTGTACGTGCCAGGTGTTCCAGGCTGGTATAACATCTGTCTACTGGGATAGGAAACATTAACTTCTCAAGACTAAGAAATATGTAACAAGGAATAAAGATATGGATAGCAATACAATCCCACCACCCAAAAAAGAAGACCCACTGGACAAGAGCCAGGTACACTGAACTCTTAAAGGCTTCTAAGTAGGTAATTAGTCAGGGAGGGAGCAATCACCCATTCACTCTTCTGGACAATACCAATGGCCTTTGCCCCCACAGAAACCAAACTATTGCTGAGAGAGCAGCAGCAACCTATTTTTCCAAAGCTTGATACTAGCAGCAGTGGTTTAAATTCACCATCTTCTGCCTTCTAGCACTAAAAAGGCAGAAAGCTAAGAGCAGCCAGAACATTGCACCCTGCTCTTCCTTCCAAAAGTAAATCCAAAATGGCTATCTAAACCGAAAAAGGTGTTTTGAATAACTACAGACTCAGTCAGGCCCAGACACATTTGGGCGATATCTCCAGGTGCCTGTTCTCAGCCCCTAAATATGACAATGTGTCACTTGGCATTATATCTATTTATAACGACACCACTTTCAAACCTAATTTAGTTCTGAGGCTAACAAACATTAGCAGTCCAAGTGGTCCAAACTGTGTTTACATGAGTAATTCTGACATAACTGAACTTTTTACTGAAAAAGAATAAGCTTTGAATGGTTATAATTATTGTCTGCTTCTTTGAAGACAGATGCTGTTCTTTAGAGTGACAAGAAGACATTTGTCCCAGCTTTAAAAGTGTATACAATTCTTTTCCAGCAGATGGGTGTAAAAATTCTTTAAGCATATTACCTCATTGCTATACAAAATCAAGCACCATTACTGGTGTACAGCACTCCCAAGAACAGCAAATTATGTAGGTGCATGGCCAATTACTATCACTAAAGAGTTAGGGGGGTACATTCATAATAAAACTAAACAAATGCAATACAAAAATGGACCTGCCCTGCTCTCCATCTGCAGTTCTGAGAGAAGAGTAAAATCTTAAGTCTTATGCTGAACATTCTCTTTTAACTCCTTGATAAATCAGAAATAATGATCCATAGAGAAAGAACTCATTAGCTTGAGTTCTCTCCACTTTCTGCAGACCAATACATCTTGGATTTATATAAAAGAAAACATGGCATGTGCTGGCAGGTCAGCCTCCCTGATTAATAGGTTGCCTTCCACCAAATCAAGATTTGTAGCCTGGCCCATTGTAGAAGGCAACTAATCAAGCTTTAAGTATGGAATCCTCCCAATTATGGAATTTTAAAAATATGAAGCCAACGACTTTATGAAAATCTAGGTATTCTGAGATAAAACAACAACAGTATTCCAGTCTTGTCACAAATTAGAACTGCATCACTATGTCATTTTACAGTAAATTTCTGTTCTTTGTAAGAAATTATTCTTATTGTCAAGAGCAAAGACTAATCAGTTCCAAATGGTCCACATGTTAATTCTGTCACAAACAGCATTATTTTATCGCAACATACCAATGTGCGTCATGAAAAAGCAACTCTAAAATATAATACATTTTTAAAAAGAAAGAAAAGTAATTTAACGAACAGAAAATATTCCTTCCAATCCTAGGATCAAGCACCCTATAATAGACAGTGAAAAATATATAGCATACCCTATATTTCCTATATGTAAGTTTATTTTAGCTACATGTGATTTCAAATCCAACAACAAGAGTGCCTGCTAAGTTACTTAATAAATCTTAAAAACCATTTCCAAACTTAATTAATTAATGAGCATATATGGGACCAATCTGCCCTCTATTAATTCTGCTTCCTAGTTATGTGGAATTGTGAATGTAGTAAGATATGGAAACAAAAGGGATACTTACATCATACTTTGCAGTTCAGGAGTAAAGTTTGTTGATTTCCCAGTCCCTCTTCCGCTGCCTGATGGAGCAATAGTCGACATTGGACTAGATCCAGTACCACTCATCTGAGTAAACAAAGAAAACCACAATGTTTGCAGGTATACAAGAGCAAACACCACATAATGAAAAATAGCAAATCAAAACCCATGAACAATGTGTGCATGCTTTAAAATATCAAGTGAGTGCTGTTCCATTCAGACATTCACAATGCCTTATTCAGCATAATTAAAAATTACTATTTTTCCCTTCCCCAGGCAACTGAAGCAACATAGCTGACTAAAGTACGCAAGCACCATTAGTAATAGTAGCAATTAAGATGAATGACAGAATTCAACTAAAATGTTAAATGTTATTTGCTTAAATGTTGCTTATTTTGAAATTACTGCTAATTTGTTTATTTAAACACCACCTAGCTGTCATAGTCTCTAAGCTGTTTACAAAGATACAATACAAAAAAATAAAAATCAGTTAAAACTATAAAAGCAAACTTCACTTGAAATGCCTGCTGGTATAAAAAAAGCCTTCTGTAGGCAGCTGAAGTTCAATAGAGAGGGGACCAGCCTGCCCTCAACTGGAAGGAAGTTCCATAAAACTAGAAAGTTCCATAAAGTTCCTGGGGGATATGAGCTATGGGGGACCACTAACTGTGACCCCCCCCAGGCCCTGCTGATTGGGCAGGGATAGAAAGGATTAAGTCAGGGGTCAGCAAACTATTTCAGCAGGAGGCCGGTCCACTGTCCATTACATCTTGTGGGGGGGTCAAACTATATTTTGAAAAGGGAAAAAAATGAACAAATTCCTATGCCCCACAAATAACCCAGAGATGCATTTTAAATAAAAGCACACATTCTACTCGTGTAAAAACACGCTCATTCCTGGACCGTTTGCGGGCCGGATTTAGAAGGCAATTGGGCCGGGTCCAGTCCCCAGGCCTTAGTTTGCCTACCCATGGATTAAGTAGTCCTTAAGGTATCTTGGGCCCAAATAATTCTGAACATTCCAGGGTCATTACAGAAATCCCATGGAAGTGCCACCCCACATTCTGTGGTTTCAACATCACATTTTAGGGTTTTGGCCCAGTTTCCTATTTGACTTACAGAGGGCGAAACAGTCTGTCCCTTCTTTGGTGGCCTTTCTAGAAGAAGCAGATGAGGTAGGAATCAACTGTGCAGGTCTATTGTATTCATCATCTATGCACGTTGTGCCACAGAATATTTTTAAAGGACCACATGCCAGTAGATGTAGACCAGTTAACTTCCATAGCCTAGATAAAGCTACACAACTCACGCTTGCCTTGAAAAGCGCTTCTCGGTTAAAAGAAAGTCCCTGAGACTTATGAATGGTAAACTATATAATGTTACGGGAGGAAACTGCTTCCTCACAACATGCGTGTCCCTTATTAATGGAAACTCAACCTCAGTTATGGAGCAACTTTCTAGTTCAGCAGCCCTATCAAATTTGACTATTATCTGTTTCACCTGCTTTTAGAATATGCCATATTTCAAACCCACAATATATCCCATAGGACCATAAACTAATCCTCTTTCATATGTAGATTTCTCCTGAGCATAACATGAGCATTTATGCTCACTTTCAGAACAGCCTCTAAATCTGCAGTTAACTGAAACATCATGTTTCAGTTTACATATTTTCTTATTACGCTTTTCATACATATACTGCATCTGCATTGTGTGACATTAGGACTATCTATAGCATCTATTATCTCTTCTTCATTTATGCCCTCCTTTACTTAACCTCACTTGATGGAGTTGACTACATTTCTTCAAAGCTGCCATAAGCACACAGCAAAATAAACTTTATTTATTGAGAAAAAAGTATCTTGCTCTCCTCACACTTCACTTCAATCTCTGCTCTGAGTTTATTTTATCTTTTATTTTCTCGCCAAACCCAGCAACTTCTTTCTGCTCAAATAGAGCGCCATAAACTTTATTTACAATTTCTTGCAATCATATGCATGCTGCTGTAAACCATGCAAATCTCATTTATGATTATTAGCAATAAAGGCTTGGTTTGCATAGAAGTGAGCCTTTTTCATCCTGGAACCTGAGTGGTAGTCATACCACAGAGCAATTAAGCACCAATTCTCCAAAACAGGAGAACTTGAGGGATAATATATGTCACTCATGTTTCATTGGATAATGTCAATAGTATCTGATCCATTTGAGCTAGCTTTTTTCATTCTTACTTGAACTTCAAAACTGTTTCCCTATTTTGCCTGAAAGTCAGAGAGAAGTATTGAATTCCCTCAGATTTTCTATTCTATTCTATGTGTTCGTTTTCAATCCAGTTTGGTGCAGTGATTAGAGCACTGGTCTAGGACCTGGGAGACCAGGGTTCAAATTCCCCCTCAGTGCTTCACTTTTGCCCCAGGCACAGATCTGTGTTTAAAAGCTTTGTTTCTGAGAATTTGTGGGCTTTTTGCCCAGAGCTTTCCCCACAAAAACCAACTCTTTTGTGCTCAATCAGAACAAACATCAATTCAGGTTTTCCATAGATTGCCATTTGCTCTGACTGAGCTTTAAAGAGCAGGTTTTTGCGCGGAAAGCTCTGGAGCAGAAAAAAGCAAGGGCACTTGGACAAGGACCTTTAAAAGTGGGTCGTGCCTAGAAAGAACTGTCCCACACTTTCCAAATCTGCCTCAATCACAGGGTCTGGATTAGATTAGATTTTTTTCTGCAGTAATTCCTCAAAACCTGCCTACAAGATTTACACACATAAGTGATGCAGGAGGACCAAGCACTGAGCTCATTCTCTCAAAAGATATGGAAAAGGTTTTGTGGTTTCTGCAGAATCCTGACACTGAAGTTTTTTCTCCTATTTCCTCAGACCTGATGTCATGCATACCTCTTGAACCAAAGGAAAATAAGTCCTGAAAGCACTTTGCTTCTAAAGTTTTCCCCCCAGAAACTGAGTAGAGAATCATCAGTAGTTGACATCTGATACAATTTGATATTATCACCTGCAGGATCTTTTATGTGTAGATGCATATCCTGTTCAGAAAGGTCAATTATTTTTAAGATTATTACATTCACTAACCTGTTTAAAATCTAACACTAGATCACTGTGAATACTTAACTCTGCATATAGTGAATTATTCTTAATATAAGGCAAAGCAGAGCAAACCTTCTGCATGTTCACCAAGCTGCTGCCAAATTACTTTTTACTTTGTAGCCACCGGTGACCAAGATGAACACATTCTCACTCAAATATGGCTCTTAGGCTGTCTAAATTATTTTGGAAAGTTATAGAAAGATGGTTTCCCTTGTACACCTCTCCCTAATGGAAAGCAGTTTCCTAATTTTAGCGTTTAGGCAAGTAACAGTCTGATATGGTTTGATGAGCTCTATTTTTTAAAAAATCAAACAAGTTCAGACTGCTTAATTGCTTGGAACTTCTTCGAAATTCATCCCACTCAAAAATAATATCCACCTAGTAAAACATTTTTCAAGTTCTCTGCATAGTATCTGCATACATACAGTGCATCACCATTTAATGCTGAAACTATTTTTTAGAAGAATGCAACCTTCCCCTTCCTATCACAAACTGTTTTTCTCTTTCATGTCCTTTATGTTAACGTTTCTGACGGGGGGGGTGACTTTATTGCAGTTTATGCAGACTCTCTCAAATCTAACACTGTTTTTCTTACCTTCCAAATTTGGAATCTTGTCTTCAAACTGAGTGACAATAGAACTTGCTGCTACCTCACTCTTCCTCACAACCTTTGGTGGCTTAAGTTTAGCTTTAAGCTCAGCTCATATGTAATAAATTCCTTCATTTTATCTACCTCTTCAGTCTTCACGCTGATTTAAAATGTTCCTCTGACAAAAGTAAAGTGTATCCAATATACTTGTTCTTATGCTGAGCATTCTCAAACATCTAAAAATGCCTATTTTTATGTTGTGTTAACCCTTGGCAGAGTGCCCTAATTTATTTTTGAAATGTTCAGCTCCACAGTCATCAACAGAACAAAACACACTTTTGTGTGTATGTCAACAATAGTGTCTGAGCTGTGGGGGGGAAAGAAGTCACAAAGTATCATCGCGAAGTTTTGTGGTCTGCCACACAATGCAGTGCATGGCCATAGTTTTGTAGTCCGACAATTTTCTACGTTACGAACAGCAGTGCACATGTCCTAACAAAGTCTTGTACTCAGGGAAGCCAAAGACCAGAGCTTTCCAAACTGTGTCACGACATGTTAGTGTGTTGGCTGCAGTGCGCAGGTGTGCTGCGCGAATGCTCCCTGCACAAATATGGGATGGGGGACATGTGAAAAGGATCTAGGGGTCTTAGTAGACCACAAGCTTAACATGAGTTACGTCAACAGCAAAAAAAGCTAACGCTATTCTAGGCTGTATCAACGGACGTATAGTGTCCCAATCAAGGGAAATAATAGTCCACTCTATTCTGCCTTGGTGAGACCACATCTGGAATACTGTGTTCAGTTCTGGGCACCACAGTTTAGGAAGGATGTTGACAAGCTGCAACATGTGCAGCAGAAGGCAACTAGGATTGTCAAGGGTCTGGAAACCAAGCCTTATGAGGAACGGTGGAGGGAGTTGTGCATGTTTAGCCTGGAAAAGAGGAGACTGAGAGGAGGTCTGAGAGCCATCTTCAAAGGACTGTCCCATGGAAGGTGGAGGACGCTTGTTTTCTCCTGCTCTGCAGGATAGGATTCAAACCAATGGATTCAAGTTACAAGAAAGGAGATTCTGTCTAAACATCAGGAAGAACTTTCTGACAGTAAGAGCTGTTAGACAGTGGAGTGGACTCCCTTGGGAGGAGGTGGGCAGAGGTTGGATGGCCATCTGTCATGGATGCTTTAGCTGAGATTCCTGCATTGCAGGGGGTTGGACTAGATGTCCCTTGAGGTCTCTTCCAATGCTACATTTACCCCGAGGTATGACTGTATTTGCTATAATAATGATAATGATAACAGCAACAACAACAATTTATTTCTTGTACCCCAGCCACTCTGGGAGACTTCCAACAAAGTATAAAAGAACACACCAAAACATCAAACATTAAAAACTTCTCTAAAGAGGGCTGCTTTCAGATGTCTTCTAAAAGTCAGATAGTTGTTTATTTCCTTGACATCTGATGGGAGGGTGTTCCACAGGGCGGGAGCCACTACCGAGAAGGCCCTCTGCCTGGTTCCCTGTAACTGCTCTTCTCACAGTGAGGGAACCGCCAGAAAGCCCTCGGTGCTGGACCTCAGTGTCCGGGTTGAACGATGGGGGTGGAGGCGCTCCTTTAGGTATACTGAAATGAGGCCGTTTAGGGCTTTAAAGGTCCGCACCAACACTACTGAATTGTGCTCAGAAATGTACTGGGAGCCAGTGAAGGTCCTTTAGGGCTGGTGTTATATGGTCCCATAAGCCACTCCCAGTCACTTATTAAGAAGTATACAACCAGTTTTCACTTCCTAAACTGTAACCCTTAAGAACTTTCAGCAAGACAGTATCAAGTAGACACCACAACCTGGGGAAAATACCCGTGAATGTTATTTCGCTGACCGACTGAAGGACTTGGATTACTCAAGTGCAAACCCCCATTCTTTCCAGTTACATGAATGCAGTTCCTGTACATAATCAGGCTTTTCACCTTTACAGCTACTTTAAATGACCTTACCTATCATGCAGAACTAACTTTCATTCACCCCTTCTCTCACTAAAACTGCTTATATACATTAAAAATAATGAATAAGGCATATAATTGACTAATGTATCTGCATCCTAATACTGCAATCCCAACCACATCTGCTCAGAATTAAGAACTACTGGTTGGGGCTTTCTCCCAGATCACAGAATCACAGAGCTGGAAAGGACCCTGAGGATCATCTAGTCCAGGCATCCTCAAACTCAGCCCTCCAGGTGTTTTGGGACTACAACTCCCATCACCCCTGACCACTGGTCCTGTTAGCTAGGGATGATGGGAGCTGTAGTCCCAAAACAGCTGGAGGGCCAAGTTTGGGGGTGCCTGATCTAGTCCAACCCCCTGCCATGCAGGAATATGCAACTGTCCCATATGGGGATCGAACCTGCGACCTTGGCGTTATCAGCACCACACTCTATCCAACTGAGCTATGGGGTTAGTAAGAATATATTAATAAGAAAACATGCTACTGACATCATATACTCATTGTTATGCTTTGTCAACAAAGGAAAAACATAGTCATCTACAAAGATCCTTAATGAAACAAAAGCCTAGAAAAAATGAGCCAACGTGAAGCGGTTCTTGGCATCAACTGGCGTAATCTAAAAGGAAAGGTCAAAGCTAGTCTTTTAACATTTCTACTAGATTATCATGGCTACTGTCATATAAGTCTTACTTTTGGTGACATATTTGGGTAATGTGCTCTAAGCTTTACAAGTGGCAGGGAAGGCCACAATTATGAATACTATCGTGGAATCATAGAACTGTAGAGTCGGAAGTGACCCTGAGAGTCATCTAGTCTCACCTAGGTGCAGGAATCTCAACTAAATCATCCATGACAGATGGTCATCTAACATCTGCTCAGAAACCTCCAAGGAAGGAGCAGTGGTGGAGCTTCATGCTCTGGCACCGGGGGGCGGAGAGCAGGAGGGGGCGGGGCTGGCGCGCATCCCGGGGGCATAGCGCGCCACCCGTAGGGGCATGGTGTGCTGCGTGTAGGGGCGTGGCACCCAGCGGGGCAGGGGGGACAGCCGCGATGGCACCCCGCCAGGATCACGCTGCCAGGGCGGTGCGCTCCCCCGCACATCTCTTCCTCCGCCAGTGGGAAGGAGAGGGAGCCTGTTCCACGGTGGAACGGCTCTTGCTGTCAGACAGAACCACAGATATTACACAAGTAATATTCATATGCTGGCAACAAACACTATAAGCATTATGAGCAACACACCATATTCTGAACAAAACTAATTATTAGACTGAAAACCCAAATTATTTTTTATATAACATACTTCTAACGGGAATCGGGAGAATTGTCAACTAATGTACTACCAACTCATACAAATGCTTTGGTCTTTGATTCCTGTCATCAGATAACATTTTAAAATGATAGTACCCACAGAATTGTTGCTGGTTCCCCTCCACTAATCTTTCTGACTTGCAAAAATCTGGTAAGCCTTCATTTATCCATGGTCTACTCATTTCTTACATTATTATTAGCAACAGTGGCTTTAAAGAATGAAAAGCAGATGTTAGCATCATTTGCCCTCAGTCAGCACTCTTAGATTTGCCTATTATAGTTTTACCTTTCACCTATACACATTTCCTAAAGCACAAAATTTATACAAGTTTTTTGTTACTATGGTTAACTAGTGCTGTATTTCACGCCATAATTATCCACAAGTCTTATTTTAAATGTATTGCTCTGAATACTGGACAAGTCAATTTTTCTCCTTGATCACACAGGAGATTTTATATTAATATATATTTCTTTTGCCCAAAAGCAAAGATGAACAGGAAGTGACAGACCAGGTTTTGAAGTGAAACTATATTCCACAACGTATTGGTGGGAAACGTGATATAAACTATTGTCATTTCTCAGCTGACCTTTTGAAATGACATTTCAGTTTTCCATGTAAGTCCAGTTTCCAGCAAAGTTCCAAACTCTCAGGCACATGAAAGCACCTTAAGAAAGCAAGCAAGCAAGCTGATTCTTCATCCACTAGGCCCCATCTTTTCTCTAAAGGCCTTCTAGGAAACTTGGACTGACTTGAAGCAGCAGCAAGGGCTGGGCCAGTACGGCCACAGCAGGCTCCCTCGGCACCCCATGTCCGTCCTGCGTGGCAGTAGCACACGCTCCGCCACTGGTATGCAAGCCCATGCAGTGGACGGCAGCTGGGTACACTTGCCCCAGGCCTCGGAGGGCAAAGCCCTGCTGGGGGGCCTGCCAGGGACCGGCTGCTTTGGGGTTAGAGTTACTATGTTATTCTAACAAGACTCCCACCATGGGCATTGGACAAGCTCTGCACAGGCCTGTATACGTGTGCATCACATGTAGCATTCAACATGTGTACAGTCTACCTACAGTGTACACTGGTTGCTAATCTGTACGTAGGTACAATTATTCATATGCAGTGGTGTGCACATGTGTGGTCACGGGGATTTCTGGGCAATATTCTAGTGTCCTTTTGCCCACAGAAGGGAATTCCTTCATCACATGATGCCATTGCCCGGCAGTACAGAACAAGTGATTCCTGTGATTTTTCAATATGCCGAAGGCAGCTTGGGTTTGAATAAAGTTATTTTCTGTAATTTTGAATACTAATTCTGTAGTTTGAGTTCCCAGAAACTGGAGAGCATAGATGGATTGCCATGTTCTTAGACGCTGTCCCGTATTTCTGTCAACAGTGTATTAGAGATAACATGGCATTTTAGTATGTGGTGTTGTTTTTTAAGCTATGGAAGATGAGGCTAAAAGGCAGGGGTTACAGTATTTGTATGCTAATCCAAACTGGCTTATTAATATTTCATTTTTAAGGAGAATACAATTTAAAGATGACAACACAAAGGAAGGGGAACCAAAATGCAATTAATTTTCAGACTAGGCAACTAGCAAAAGCAATTATTAAAAGAATAACCAGAATTTGAGTGACAGCAATTTGTTCATGGTGTGGTGTAATACTTGTCTCTTCCTCCAGATAATTTTAATGGTCTTTTATTGACTCTCATCCTCTTGATTCACATCCCTACACCCACATCTCTCATAAATCAATTCTTTGTGCTAAACTTCAGAAGTCTAAACAGCAATAAGAGCAGACGTGGCCGGTGGGGAATCACAGGTTTCCTGCTCATGGGGAAAGTTTGGCTGCTGCGCTATGCAGGCTCATCTGAGACTGAACCCACTGAAACTTATTTCTGAGTACACATGCATAGGATTGAGCTACACAATTCATAGATGAGATTGAGCTTTAGGCCCTGTGCTGTTATTATCGGTGTATTTGGAATACTTTTCAAACAACAAAGGGAATGGGAAGCATCCTGGTCCCACAATGGCCAACCAGATGACTGTGGGAAACCAGAGCTAGAACCTGGGCACAACAGTACTCCCCCCCCCGCCCGCCCCCCACTTGTGAAAGGCAGTGGAGGTAGAACATGGCCATTGGGCCAGTGTCTGAATCTCTTTACCCACAGTGCCCTCATTTAACTCTGGGAGGGCAAAATTATTCATAGAAGATGGTGAAAACAAATGTACCCTGTGACTCAAATAAACTTTGAAGAAGAAACCAAATAAATTAAAAGCAATTTTAAAAATCGATGGCAGCAGCAACCCAGAAACACAGGGCATGTCAACAGAAACAGGCTTCTCGGAAGAGGCAGGTTTTGCATCCTCTCCAAAAATCAGCAAAACAGTGGGGGGCAGATCCTTCCACAGCCTCAGGCCGACTGCAGAAAAGACACTGCTTTCAGTCTAAAACCTGAGCGATCAAAACCCTATTTGCTTTGGCAGCTGCCTGCCCTCTTTTCTGCCCCTTTTACAGAAATCCTCAAAATCCAAGAGCGAAAGAAACTGCGAGTTCCAATAGACTGGAAAGAAGGCAACTGACCCATTCTCCCCACGTCTCCCTCTGCCCCAAGCTGGCAAGCTGCCCTGGCCTGAGTGGGCAACCTTTGGGTGCCCACTCCCTCTGGCCTCTTAACTTCGGGTCATGTAAATACTTTTAAGCAGGCGCGTGAAACCCAGCGAGTCACCTCTCTATACATGTGCACATGATGATGATGAACAAAAAGAAAGAAAGAATGCTGAACGCTCCAACTGCTACCAGCTAGCAACGTTTTTTCTATGGCCACGTTATTACGCTTATAAGCTAAGTAGGTGTAGAACATTTTATTTAGATGAACCCTGCACCTCATTAGACCACCCTGTACCGTTTAAAATAATTACTTCCCCAGCTAAGATCTGTTAGCTGGCTTAGATAATTAACTTCTTTACACATCAAAGTCTGATCATATGCATGTCCCATTTCCTTTCTTCCGGACATTAAAAAAATCTCAGCCAAAAGCAGAAGCACTCAAATCAATTTTCTCCAATAAATCCAACTAACATGAAATTCAAAACCTACTGTAATATTCAGTAGGTCAATGTACTGCAGTTGTTTTTCCTTTGAATTTAAATGCAGCTGCATGCCATATTCTACAAAATGAATTCAGATGTTCAGATGGAGATGCAGATTATTTCAACATGCTGTAGTTTATACATGAACCCCCATAAGAAGATGATAATATTTGATTAACACTATTTAAAACTAGTAATTATGAGGTTCTAGCTAAATCTACGTAATATTTGCCAAATTCCTTTCTTCTGAAGGAAAGTCTGGTATGCATAAAAATAATTTAAAATGAAATGAAAAACATAACATTTAATTTAAAAAAGCTTTCATTTGTAGTCATCTGTATGAAAGCTATCATACTTTCTCTGTAATCTGTTATTTTGCACACTGAATGCTGAGCAGTTTCCACTCCAGCCCAGGTCAGCATACATCAGGGTGAGTGGTACTGAATCTTATTTAGCGTTACTCAAGAAAGTGAGGTTCCTTAGCACCACACAGCGAAGGCAGTGGGCCCATTCTAGTGGTTAACCACTTCCACATTCTATCTGCATCCATGGTGGCATTACAGATGGAAAATAATCTCCCTAAGTGATCATGTGAATGCATATACATTAGGAGACGTAAGTATTACCAATGCCAACCATTTTCAAAGATGTTATTTATAGTAAAGAAATGTGAAAGGATCAGTGTTTAAGATGGAAGAAGCTTTGGCAGAGACCCTCTGGGTTATTTACCCGCTTGTAAGCAGGCAATAATGCTGCTGTTCAAAGCAGAGGATATCTTCAACTTATATGAGCTCTCTCCAATTAATCTGGAAGTAATGTGAAGCAAAACATAGGATAGTAATAAAGCGCATTCTAGGAAAGAATGATTCCTTAATAAATTCCTTGACGTTCAGCACTTTCACTAATTATACCAAGTGGCGTATTCCACCTTTTCCAAAATACAAATAGTAGTACAGTGGTACCTCTGGATGCGAACAGGATCCGTTCTGGAGCCCCATTCGCATCGTGAAGTGAACGCAACCCGCGTCTGCACGTCTTCACGTGCGCGGGTCACGGTTCGCCACTTCTGTGCATGCGCGTGACGTCATTTTGAGCGACTGCACATGCAGTGAAACCCGGAAGTAACGCATTCCGTTACTTCCGGGTCGCCGCGGAGCACAACCCAAAAAAGCTCAACCCAAAGCTACTTCAACCCAAGGTATGACTGTAGTGGTGATAGTAGTAATAGTAGTAGTACTCCTGGGCTGCTCCTGTTGTTGTTGTTTAGTTGTTTAGTCGTGTCCGACTCTTCGTGACCCCATGGACCAGAGCACGCCAGGCACTTTATTATGGGGCAATAAAATGCCATTGCCCCATTGATCCTTACCATTAACACTTGCCACAATAGGTATGTCGGACATTTTGTAATGTTTGATGTTTTATCGTGTTTTTAATATTCTGTTAGGAGCAGCCCTGCTCGGCATAGTTCATAGCTTCTCTGAATAACTCAGCTGTATACCTGTTGCACTCAACCTCAAATCTACTCAGAAACTTCAGTTGAATAATAATTTAAAAAATGGTAAAGGACCCCTGACCGTTAAGTCCAGTCATGACCGACTCTGGGGTTGCGGCGCTCATCTCACTTTACTGGCCGAGGGAGCCCACGTACAGCTTCCGGGTCATGTGGCCAGCAGGACTAAGCCGCTTCTGGTGAACCAGAGCAGCACATGGAAACACCATTTACCTTCCCGCCGGAGCGGAACCTATTTATATACTTGCACTTTGACCTGCTTTCAAACTGCACAGATTAGTACACTACTATTTGTGGTATGGCAAGGAAGTCTACTATTCAAGGTGATAGGTAGGTGAGAAAATCCATAGCAATGATAGTTTCTTATACAGCTATAACCAGTGCTTTTTTAAAAAGAAAAAAAGGCACAGATACTCACCATAAAATTGTTACAGCAAGTGCCACACTTTTGACATTTGGGGGGGGGAGGTGCCGGTGCTGCATACCATTGAGCACCCCCAGAAAAAAAGCACTGGCTATAACCCGTCTTCCTCCCTCTTTTTGCCAGAATAATTTAGGTAAAGGTCTGACCCTGCTGATTATCTGCCTTCCTCAGCAACACACTTCTTGAGTTGTATCCAACCAAGCTGTTCTGTTAGCACAAGGACTTTTGCCTCTACAGCAGATCTTTCTTCCCGCAACCCCAATCTTCTCCAGATAGGTGGGGGAAACCCCATAACAGATTTTGGGGGTGTGGGCAAGGGGTGCATGAGAAGAGAGGAAGTCCTGATGCACAAGTGGAACAAGTCCTTGTTCTAACCAGATGACTTCACTGGATAGAAACCCCTTGTGTCTGGCATAGGCAAGTTTTCGCAATGCCATTTCCCAGATCGAAATGAGCACGTTTTGCCTTCAGCTGCCCAAAAGCTCTTCACGGGCATTCTGGAACAATGAAAACAGCAGCTGAAGCTGTTTTCCACAGAGGTGCAAAAAACCTATAGGCAGACATGAGCCAAAGGTTGCACTCCTGGTCAGTGCTTCACAGACATGATCTTGACCAACGTGCCTTGGAGTTTCATAACCCATGAAGAGACCTGGGACATGAAAACAACAACAAATTCAAAAACAGAAGTAATCTGCTCTGTACCTGCTTCAAGTTGATTGCGAAAGAGTAGCTAGAGGACTGAGATGCATTTGGAGACTGAGAAAACAAGGCTACGGGCTTAATGAAATAAATAAAAGTTTTCAGATAGAGATCAGGTATTTTAATTACTGCCATTGTAACCTCTGTATACTGATATATGCTTTTTAACCCGGGTACATTGGGGGTCTTTGATTACAGGGAACCACCAGCCAGAGCAAGACCAGTGGTGAGGAAGGGGTGCTTAGGGAACTACCAGGGAGAGAACTGCTTTGGGCTTCCATCTCCTCATCACTGCTCTCTAGGACATAGCAGCTTATGAAGATGGAGCAGAGACTATCACCATAGTTCATCAAACTAGCTTGTGTAAACCATAGTTTCAAAAATATGCTTCAACCCACATTCTCTTATTTTAGTTAGCTAGATGGTCAGAAGTCATGCTTTGTCAACATGGATGTTATGATAGTTAAGAGCATCAAAACATGGCTTCATGCCATATCTGAATTAAATCAATATGTGACATAGATGTATGTGTGAATCAACTCAAGTTCCCTTACAAACCATCACAACAGGAAATGTGTACAGGAACCACAGGAAATACCGTTATTTTCTCATTACAATAAAACAGAATGTTGTCGAGAGATTCCTATTTTGCTGCTCCTTGTGTTTCTATTCTTCAAGACTTGCAAGGGAGGGCGATTAATACTCTATTATTATATAAGCAAAACCAACAAATCTTGCTTGCTTTTCTATTTAAGAAGTGCCATAAGGAATTCATGACCCTGGATACATTGCAGAGCCTTTAAGTTCATAAATTTTGATGCTCATCCTTCTTTACAACCTATTGTCACTCACTCATTATAAGGAAGAAGCAGGATTTTTACTATTTGCAAATAGTTTTCTCCATTAAGAAAACACTGCAAAACAAGTCATTTTCCCTGATGTCCACTATAGAATGCCTATCTATGGAAGGAAGTTTTGTACACATGAGGTCTCCTCCCAAATGTAGCCCCTCCAGAATAGTATGAGATGTGATACAGGCTGGGCTACGGAGGGAGGGGAAAGAGGCAAAACTTAGAAAAGTTATTCCACGTGTACAAGAGCAGGTCTGGATCCAAGCCATTATATTTGATATTGTTATTTTGGCAGGAACAGCATAATTAATGGCCAGCGCTTAAAGTGTAAGAACTCATGTGAGGTGACCAGCTCAATTTGCAGACTGGGTGTGCCATCAAGGACAGACAGCCCTCTGAGCCATTTTCTTGCAAAGGTCTCACTGAAATGAATGCGAGCTTAGCAAAGCGTCAGGCTCTTCCGCAGCTCCCCATGTCTTCCAAGAAGCCAAGGCAAGAGAATAGCCTAGTACACTAAACTGCAGAAAGTTCATGCCTCCAGTAGTCCAAACCCATGACTCAAGAAGCAACAACACTCTGCCACTGTAATATTTGCATCGGTAGCCTCACGGCCGGATGAGTACCGTGTGCTCTCTGTCCTTGGGCCTGGCAGGTGCAAGCTCCAGCGGCCTCAGGGTGGCTGGCAGCATGGGACACCTCTGCTAAGAAATCTGCCCCAGCTGCCCATGTGCTATCGAGACAAGTTCAAGGCTCCTGCGTTGACACACAAAGCCCAGAACAACTTGGTTACTTTAAAGACCCCCTGAGCCCTCAGAGCAGGTATTAGAGGTGTGCTGCTGTTAGCTGTCCCCTGCACTACGGAAGTTCAACTGGCCTCCATTGGAAGTTGGGCATTTAGTGTCAAGGTCCCAAGCTGAGACAGACTGTTCCAGCAGAGACTGGGCAAGGCATTCTTGCTTTTTTATTTTCAGCGGCATCTCTGGAAGAGTGGGTTTTTTTAAATGCCAGCAGGCCTTTGCAGTTGTTGAAACTGATTAGCCGGTCACTTTAATGATTATCTGCATTGTTTTAATAGTGTTTTATTGTTGTATACCACCCTTATATTTTATGTTATGGGAGTATAGAAATAATTTTATAAATAGAATATAGGTGTGCATGTGTGTGTGTGTGTTTGTGTAAATAAAACATATACACAGGCTTCTGCAGAATCATTTCTGGCACTGCGCATTATATCTTGGTTCCATAGATTGCAAGCTGCTGCCCTGATGTTGCAGCCAACATTAGGAAAGCTGTGCTGGGGGTAAAGATGTCATATTGTAATAACTTTACAGAAAAAAATAGAGGTAAATAGGGACAATCTGATTTAGGGTGAATTATGCTTTGTATGTAGAAATTCTGAGGCAGCTCATTGTGACACAAATAACTTAAAAAGGAGCAGCAGGAGAAGAATATTTGTGGCTGGCTGGGGTACGGATAAGTAGTGAAAGCCTAGCAGTGAAAAATAGCAATATGTCAAATTATGTCATTTCTTATGCTTGCCCAAGAATCTTATGGGCTTTTTAAACTTTATTGGATACTTCACTAAAACAGCAGAATCAGCATAATTTGACTGCAGAAGCAATCAAAATCACATCAACATCTACTTGAACTTCTGAAATAATGTTGACACATTTGTGAACATACTGAATTGTATCTGCACAGCTAATCTGGAGTCTCATGGTGAAGCTCTCTCTAAGAATATAAGATTTTCTATTATTATAGCAAGAGATGGTTCTTTTCAAGAGAACACTGTTTTCTGTACTCACAACACAAATCAGATCTCACTAACAGTAACTCCAGGAAAAGTATTCTACATGCCTAGATGCCCTTGGAAACCTAAGGTGATAGTCCAATGCAGGGTTGAATAACTATTCCCAGTTCTCAGGTACCAGTAATACCTACATCTTCCATGTGCTTGAGATTTTCTTAGCCATGGCCACAGTGAACCATTTCAGGTTGTCCAATGAATTCCATCCTCGGACTGTCCAACAAAATTAATTCTACTGATCAGAACCTGTGCCATTCAGCACCTATCTAAACATAACTGTACTCCTAATCAAACCATCTTTGCAAACCACACAAATTGCATTTGTGGCTCAATATAGAGAAGCATTATAGTACAAGGTCAGTAGATATGAGGGCATTCATAGTAAGTTAACAACATGCCTGAAAAACTAAATAATGTTGTTTGGGCTTGTAACTAAATTGAATTCACAGAAGAACAACAGTAATTACTGAGGAAGTTCAAGAGCACCACAGAAAGTTGTGATTTGCAGACGTTTTAACAGTTATAGCTATCGCTATCATACGAGTGGAAGTTAGTGAAAGGCACTCTGGCACTCCTAGACACCGAGACAACTTGGGCCCCCAGTGACAAACCTGGAAATCTACGAAACTGAACATGGAAGATCATTGAGAGCATTTGTGTAAAAATAAATAATCACTGTGTGGTGGTGTGCTAGAGTGCCAAGCCAGGCAGAAGACCCGGGTAATTCCTTCCTAGATCATGTGACCAAACTTCCCAAGAGGAGAGATATAGTAGTCATGAGAGACTTCAGTAACCCTGATATTAGAATTACCGTACAGTGGTGCCTCGCAAGACGAAATTAATTCGTTCCGCGAGTTTTTTCGTCTTGCGATTTTTTTCGTCTTGCGAAGCACGGTGTCGGGAAAGTTTTGGAAAAGCTTCAAAAATCACCAAAGTCTTCAAAAACCTCAAAAAAGGGGGGTGCTTGGGAGGGAGGGAGAGGCGGGCGCAAGGCTTGGGGGAAGGCGGGGCGGAGGTTGCTGCCTGAGCCCCTGGGATCGGTTCGGCTCGCCTTGCTCCGACCCTTTGCACTACAGTCGGCGCCGTCTTCCTGCTGCTGCTGTCGCCGCGGTAGTCAAAACTCCTACCGGCCTAAAAGTTGTCTGGTGCAAAATCCCTTCTGCAGCAGCAGCCCGAAAGAAAGCGAGAGCGCCAGCCAGCCAGCCGCCCACCGCGGGCAGGAGGGAGGGACGGAGCGTCGGCGACGGTGGATGCCTATTGCCCCTGTTGCTGCTGCAGCCGGCCAGCCAGCCAGAAGCGCGCGAGCGGAGAGGGGTGCATCCAGCCCGTTGGAGAGGAGCGCGGGGGCGCGTCCCCGGTGGCTCCCGAGCTGACCTTGCCTGACCCGGCGCCTTCCGCGCTGCCAAAGGGCGACTCACCTGCTGCCTGCGCTGCGCCGGGACTAACTCGAGCGGGGCGAGGAGAACACACACTCGCGCGCACACACACCGAGAGGCTAACTTGCCGCAGCTGTCGACATCACGGGGTTGGAAAGCACGGAGATGCAGGTAGGGGGCGCCCCTCGCAGGGCGAGCGCCGGAGGGCCCGGGCAGGCGCTCTTGTCACCGCCGGGGCGCTGGGGGGGGGGGAGAAGGAAGGAGCCCCGTCCGAAGAGCCCCGGAGCCTGGCCTCCCTAACTGGGAGTTGTGGGGAGGGACGTGTGCGCGCCTTGCTATTTTTCGCCGAAACAAAGCTCCCTCTCCCTCAGAACCCGCCTTCACGCGTTCTTGCCCCTACGGAGACGCACACTGCGTGCTATGAGTTGCTCCTCGAAGTCAAGTCGCAACTGTATTAACGGTTTTAAGAAAAAGGAAACAAACTTGCAAGACGTTTCCGTCTTGCGAAGCAAGCCCATAGAGAAAATCGTCTTGCGAAGCAACTCAAAAACGGAAAACCCTTTCGTCTTGCGAGTTTTCCGTCTTGCGAGGCATTATGCTGCGAGGTACCACTGTATTTTTCCGTGCAGTGGTCGAGGTTTTTTGACACAAAAATCATGTCAAAAAACTGGGGTCGTCCAATACACGGATAGTGGCGGGGTGGGGAGGTGCTGCTGGCGCAGGGAGTGCTCTGGGGGCGCTGGCTGGTGGCGCGCAGCTTCCCCCGATGCTGCTGCACGAGGGAAACACTCCCTTTACCTGCGTGCGGGAAATCATAGAAACATAGAGTTGGAAGAGACCACAAGGGCCATCGAGTCCAACCCCCTGCCAAGCAGGAAACACCATCAGAGCACTCCTGACATATGGCTGTCAAGCCTCTGCTTAAAGACCTCCAAAGAAGGAGACTCCACCACACTCCTTGGCAGCAAATTCCACTGTCAAACAGCTCTTACTGTCAGGAAGTTCTTCCTAATGTTTAGGTGGAATCTTCTTTCTTGTAGTTTGGATCCATTGCTCCGTGTCCACTTCTCTGGAGCAGCAGAAAACAACCTTTCTCCCTCCTCTATGTGACATCCTTTTATATATTGGAACATGGCTATCATATCACCCCTTAACCTCCTCTTCTCCAGGCTAAACATGCCCAGCTCCCTTAGCCGTTCCTCATAAGGCATCGTTTCCAGGCCTTTGACCATTTTGGTTGCCCTCCTCTGGACCCGTTCCAGTTTGTCAGTGTCCTTCTTGAACTGTGGTGCCCAGAACTGGACACAGTACTCCAGGTGAGGTCTGACCAGAGCAGAATACAGTGGCACTATTACTTCCCTTGATCTAGATGCTATACTCCTATTGATGCAGCCCAGAATTGCATTGGCTTTTTTAGCTGCCGCTAAAATGATCTAGGGAGTGTTTCCTGCCCACAGCTGGGGGGTGGGGAGGCTCAACAACTTTGGGCAATCTCCCCTCATTTTCTTAAAATTGAGTCCCCCAAAATAGGAGGGGTCTTATACATGGGGGCATCTAATAGACGGAAAAGTACGGTAGTTTAGTATTCATAGAATTCTGCTAAGAATGAAAGGTCAAATAAATCCCTGGTTTGCCTTGCTGATAATTTTGTCTAGGAGGTGGAAAGAGAAACAAAAGGATCTGGTAAGTAAGGCAGGGGCTCTGAAGTATATGCAAGCAAGGAGTAGAGGACAGAATAATCCCTTGCTTAAACTGAAGAAAATTATTTAGGCTTGGAAAGCAAGTCAAATATTGTCAACTCTTATTTGACCCCAGTCAAACATTTAATGAATATTTCTGTGTGTCATTATGGTGTCATTACCTTAGTGCTAGTTATCTCCTAGCTCTGCAGCAATTGGGGCAAAACAAGCAGTGAAGCAACGTACTATAATTTTAGACATCTCCAAACAGAGGCAAAAGTCTAGCAGGCAGTAGGCCAGACTAGGACCAGGAAGACAGGCATAGGTTCGAATTCTCACCTGACCATAAGGCTCAATGGCAACATTGGGCCAGTCGCATACTGTCAGCCTCGGAACATCTCCATGAGTAGAGTAATATAAAATGTTGCTGGACTACAACTCCCATCATCCCCAACCACCAGTCCTGCTAGCAAGGGATGACGGGAGTTTTAGTCAAACAACATTTGAGGACCCCAAGGTGGAGAAAGGCTGATGTGCATTATGCTAAGTTCCTTGGGGGGGAGGGAGCTTACTTACTGTCATAAGTAGCACAAGCATCAATTATGTTGGTAATATTCTGTTGCTCTCAAAAGGTTATTCCTTTTAAAATACTTGACCATTTTGTGACAATATTTGGCCCAAATCTTTTTTGACTAGTCTAATTCGCAACCTAGAATTATGCTGTTATGATCATAACCAAATGAACTGTGGTGTTTTCATGATCATTTGGTGGAATATGTCACTCCAAAACAATTAAGCTTCTGAGGAACAGTTGAGGGAGTTGGGTATATTTCGCCCGAAAACATATCTTGGGACTGAGAGGGAATAAGCCATGCATCTTCAAATATCTTAAGGGCTGCCAGATGGAAGATGGAGCAAGCTTGTTTTCACCTGCTCTGGAAGGTAGGACTTGAACAGCTTTCTGAGGGTGATAACTGCTTGACCAGGAACGGTCTCCCTCGGAAGGTGGTGGACTCTCCTTCCTTGGAGGCTTTTAAGCAGAGGTTGGATGACCATCTGTCAATAGATGCTTTAGCTGAGATTCCTGCATTGTAGGGTTTGGACTAGATGGGGTCTAGATGGGGTCCCTTCCAGGAGTCCAACTCTACAATTCTGTAATTCTCACGGAACAGATTGCTGCCTGAGGCGATCACCCTCTTGCCAGCAGAAGAGAGCACAAGTGGAAGCAGAGGTCTAACTAGTTTCCTCCCCACCCCTCTGTGTGCATTACGTTTCTCAATAGCCTCCAACATTCCACTCAATTAATTTCTGGGGGATTATCACACTTCTGGGGTTTGGCCTTGTGCCTTAATGTTGCCCTTGGGGTGCATATAATCACAGGGAATGCAGTGTCTAGCATGTCTTATTGCTTTAGGAGCTCATGCAGAAATGTCATTAGCCCCTAACTTTCAACCGTGCCTAAGATTATTATGCAAATATAATTGCTAAAACATATACGTTTATTAAATTGCACACTGCTACATGTTAACATGTAGTTAATTGACTAATCACATTTCAGACACTTCCTCTGCGTTTAGTAAGCCCACAAAAGTCATTCTTCAAGCTTCTGACACTGACACTGATCTGAAACAAGCCTGGCAACCCTTACAAAAATCTTTTGAGCAACAGGGAGAAAAACGTAAGAGAATCTTAAAAGCCGGCCAATAAATCACCCAGTCAAAAAACAAGTGCAGCAAATGCAAATATTGATTACGTGAATCGGGACCATTGTTGAAAAAAGTATGCAATAAATTCCAAGGGGAGGTTTATAAATGTTTTGTAAAAGTACTATATTATTATGACTTATGGTATTAAGAAGAATGCTCAAAACAGGAAGCAAGAGAACCTCTGGGGGGGGGGGGTTGGGAGGAATTCCAAACAAGGTATTCCATAAAACACCTCATCAACTACATTCACTGACCAGTTCCATTTAACTTTAAGTTGCAAACCATCTAGTAAGTTCAATCTTGGAAACATTCTGAAATTAACAATGCACCCTTAATATTTCAACGTTTTGCCTTAACACATTCTCAAATGTTTCCTTCTGGAACGCCAAATGCTTTACACATTTGTGTGGTTTTTTAAAAGAATGTGTGGATTTTATGTACTGAATGTAGTCCCAGATATACACAAACTACTGGGTGAAATCGAAGGAGCTGGGGTAAGAGTATGTAATTTCTAAATTCCTCCCAAATGTTCCCCATTTCACACACAATGGTGGTAACAACAAAGCCTTATGAATTTAGCTTTTGCAGCCTATGCATTTGCATGAAGTGATATAATCAGTTGGCAAATACCCACACATGGCATGTACTAGGGACTGCTAATTGTGAGGTCAGAGGGAAATGAAATGCAAACGGATTTCATTAATTGGTTGTTAATGAACAATGGTGCTGGGAACACTGGCATCCTGGCAGGACAAGCCAATTAACACATATAGTGCGATAATAATCCATGAACCCAGAACAGATAGCATTGAACGCCTCTTCATGTAAGCCTCCCTTTGAAATTATTCCATTCCAATATGGCCACCTTAAGATCAGTTACAGTGCCCTGCAAAGTTAAAATGTCCCTCATTGGTTTTTCTGTATTGCCAGTTCTGATATCAGATCTCTGTCCATTTTTTATTCTGCACAGAGACTGCCTGCTTGTCCTATGTAGAATGCAGAAAGGTGTTGCTGGTAGATTATGGCTTATGTCATGCTGGAAGATGAGCAGGTGCAATATCCTCTCATGTTGTGGGGGAATTATTAGGTCCTGCCATGAGGGCGGAGTCTGCATCTGGGTCTGCCACAGAGTCTGGGCCAAACTGAAGCAGAGGAACTGCTACTACAGACACATCAAGAGATTTGACCCTACTCTTTGTGGACTGAATCATCACTGTGGATATTTACCACTCTACACGTGTTAATTTGGCGGCCCTGCAGACTGGCGGGGGTTTTGCACAGGTATTCTGCAACATGTCACTGCCTGAATGACGTAGAGTTGTAGCACTAGAATGAACCCCAAGGTCCATTCCAACCCCCTGCAATGCAGGAATCTCAGCTAAAGCATCCACAACAGATGGCCATGCAACCTCTGCTTAAAAACCTCCAAGGAAGGAAAGTCCACAATCTCCCACTGTCAAACAGCTCTTACTGTCAGAAGGTTCTCTTTGATGTTTAGTCGGAATCTCCCTTCTTGTACTTGAACTAGTTTGAGTCCTACCCTCCAGAGGAGAAAACAAGCTTGCTCCAACTTCCATGGAACAGCCCTTCAGATATTTGAAGGTGGCTCTCATATCCCCTCTTCATCTTGTTATTCATGCCTCTCCATGTGCATTAGTGGGGGGGTTATACCGGGTCACCCAAACATCATTTTGCTTTATTAGCTGTTCTACAATGCTTCCCAAATGCTTCCAGCATGATGGCTGCCCAGAGAGGCCCTCTTGCCTATATCACGAGCGCCAGTGTGCTGCAGTGGCTAGAGGGCTGGACAGGGATGAAGGAGGCCAGGTTTCAAATTTTTCGGCCTAGTCTAGTCTACCCCACTGGGTTGTTGAGAGGATAGAGTGGGGAGGAAAACCACGAATGCCACTTTAAGTGTCTTTCACAAAAGGTGGGGTATAAATGTAATAACTAAATATAGTGCAACAAAAGCAGGCAGGTCAAATGCCCCTGCTCCAGAACATTTGTGAAATTTGCAGAATTTCAGCAGGAAGCAAGAAGACATGCACCAATTAGAAATGAAACAGTATACTCACTCAAAACCTTTTTTAGGCACAAGCCATATTAAAAGTGGGGTGCATATAACCACCTCAATACCATTAGCATCAATAATCAGGAATGCAAATTAAAAAAGAGCACCTGGGGGGGGCCTTGGCTTACCATGAGAGGATGTCTCTGTTACCAGCTGTAATGACCACAAATAATTATGTAATTATCAGGTCTGTACTTTTTCTTCATCTCGTTTCCCTGACCTCAATGTCTGCGGTTAACTCACAATTGTCTGTATATGTACTTTGACTGAGGATCACACTTCATGCATCTGTTGAAGTAGACCGTAGCCCACAAAAGCCTATGTCCTAATACTGACAAGCAAATGCATCATACCCAAACAAAACATCTGCAATTTATATACTACACATGAAAAAATATAGTCACATTTGAAGTTTATCAAATAAGACATAGTAAGAGCCCATGGCTGTCAACGTTTCCCCTTTTTTAAGGGAAATTCCCTTATTCCAAATAGGATTCCTTGCAAAAAAAGGGAACAGTTGACAGCCTTGCAAGATCAGTCCAAAGGCCCGTCTGGCCCAGCCTCCTGTTCTCACAGGGACCCCTGTGGGACGCTTGGAAGCAGGACCTGAGCAAAAGTGGGTGGCAATGTTTTCCTCTCTCTCTTATAACATGACAACTCACGGATACTGAAAAATTGAAAAATTCAGGACAGATAAAAGAAAGTTCTTCTTCACACAGCATAGTGTGAACTATGGAACTTGCTCCCATGGGAGGCAGCAATGGCACTGGGAGGCAGGCAGGAAATGACCCCAGGACTGTGCGGTCTCTCCGTAACATTCAGATGTTAAGGAGAAATAGAACGGAGTGTCCTCAGCATACTGGTGGCACATTGCCCTGCAACCCCAACTGGCATATCTTAAATAGCTGCCAGGGGGCCAAGAGGTACTCTCCCAGTGCTACTCTCTGGACCTGAAGGTAGGACTGGAACCGCTGCAATACACTGTCCCCAGTCCAGTCCAGGATGGTGGACGGTCTTCCTTGAGTGCTGATGAGAGACCCAGAAGCAGGAGCAAGGTCACACTCCTCTCCACAGAGGTCATCCATCAGGGCAACTAATGGCTCTAAATAATCTGGGCCCTCCAATAATGCTTGTAGCTGCCCCACCGTGGCTCTCTCCACCACCTTCCCCCAAAGGGGGTCTTGCCACCTGGTCAATGTTCCAAGCCAAAGGGCCTGGAGCCGGTTTCTTTAGAAGCGGTTGCATCACGGCCTCTTTCAATGCAGCGCGGCAAAGCAGTCAGGCCACTCTGGACCCACCCGGGCAGCCCCACAAGCCAGGCGGGTCTGGGTCAAGGGGCCGGGCACTTGCCCATCTCGGCCGGCTGCTGAAGCTGCTGCAGCAACGCAACTGCTGGCACATCGGCAAAGCTAAGCAGGATCTGGGCTGGTTTCGCATTGGATGGGGGCGTTTCGTGTTGAGAGTCCTGCCTTGCAGGGGCTGGCCTAGATGACCCTCGGGGTCCCTTCCAACTTTACAGTTCTAGAGTTCTGTGATTCCGTGTGGAAACTTGTCCCACAAAAGCTGCAACGCGCTCCGGGGCAAGGCAGCGCTTCCGGGGGCTCTGGAGTCCGCGGCGAGGGAGGCTGGTTGCCGCCGGAGAAGGAGCAGCTCTTCCGGCTCCGCGGAGACCCCGCCGCCCGCCCGCCCTCCCGGCCTCCCCTCCGGGCCCGCGCTGCTCCAGCCCGAGGAAGCCCGGCGCCGCCTCGCCCTCCCCGCTGACCTCGCCGCCGCCTCAGGGGCGCCGCTCCACCTCCTCGCCAGCGCCGCCGCTCCGCCTCCTCCTGCTGCTGCCGCGGCCGCCGGCCCGGCCTGCTCCCACGACGAGGGCGGGACGGGCGCCCGGCCGCTTCCTCTGCGCTTGCCCGGCGCCCGGCGGGAGGAGGCGCCGCGGGGCCGAGGGCGGGACGCGGCCCGGCAGCCGCCATCTTGGCCCGGCCCGGCCGGCCTCTCGCCGCCGCCGAGCAAAGGCCGAGCCCGGCTGCGCCCGTCGGGCCTGCGCCCCCGCCGAAGGGTCTTGGTCCGCCCCCCCCCGGTCCGCGGGGCAGAGCGGGCGAGTCTTGCAAAACGTAGTGCGCGCTGTGAGGCCAGCATGTGGGCACCCCGAGAGGAAGGCTCTCTGGCGGCCCCTGGTTCGGGGCCAGCCCCACCCTCGTGGGGCCAGCCGGGCTGCGGGCAGAACCCAAGGGGGCAGGAGACGCACCACTTGGTCTCTCTTCTTCCCCCCCACATCAAATTGGGCTGAGGGGCTCCCGTGGTCGCGAATGTGTGTAAAAGAAATGGAGCTCTGCTTCTCAACAAGACCCTTCTTGGTGGGTGGGGGCGATGGGGCACGGCATCCAGATGGGCAGCCATGGGATTAGCTGGCGGCCAGGTCTTCCCACGACTGACACAAGACAGTTCTAGCAGTGTAAACTATGTGCAGGTGGCTTCTATTGTTTGGAGTTATGGTGACTATTTGGAACTTTAAAATACAGGTACCATCCTGAATTGAACCCAGAAATCATGAAATTCAGCTCTCTTGAATTTGGCCTCTTTGCAGCCTGTTCCATTCAATAATCAGGTGGTGACATTTTGAAGCAGCTGTAGCTTCTGAGAGTTTTTCAAGGGCACAAAGCTTGAACGAGGGGGTTGAACGAAAACACAATGCAGGATTAGATTTATTTTACAGCCCAAGCCTATGTGTAAGGCCCAGTATGTTCAAAGGGGGCTTCAGTCTCATTCAGTAAGGTTCTTGCTTTCTTACTACAGTAGTTGAGGGCTTCTGTAGCAAAAGAATGCTGTGTCTGCTAACCAAGCCTTATTAGGGTTTTCTAAACTTTACAGCATGTTTTTCTTCTTTCAATAATGTCAGCACCAAAAAAAGGCCATAGAAAACCTTTCTCTCTTTGTAGGTCACCTTTAAGATACCTAGGTCATTATGAGCTGTCTCAGAATTTCCACACATTGGAGGGGCCCCAAACCATAATGTGCACCAAACATCACATTAGAATAGGCCTGATTTACTCTTTCACTTGTTTTAACTTTCATGGCTCTTCAAAACAGAGAAAATGGGAAAAGAAACTTTTTCTTCTTGCAGCACATCATTCACTAACATTTTAGTACTGCTGGACATTACTTGAACACAGAAACTAGATAGTAATAGTTCCTGTCTGAACAGAGGACTGGGAGAGTTTCTAATCTAAAGTATATAACGAAAACACAATGGGAGCCTCCATAAATTCATCACACAAATCTCTAGCCTGTCAATAGGGTCATTAAATGAACATGAAGCATAGCTGCTTGAGATGATTGTCGTCTGTTTGCACAAAAGGAAAACACTCCTATCAAGGGAGTTTGTATCGTTTTAGTCTCTTGCAGCAAATGGCACCTTATAACTAACATTGTTTATGTGGCAAACTTTCCTGGAGTTTGCACTTTTATGGGGGAGTTACTACTAATTTTGAAAAGAAAGGATTACAACTGTATAACACATGAAATTCTCCATGCTTGGGGAATGTGCCTGTGTAAAAGCCACAACCAATATGGAGCCATTTGCAAAGAAACAATGATTTATTTCCTCCTGCAAGGAAGTCAAAGCAAATGCCAACATAGAAAATCCACTTTCTCTGTTCAATAAATTATGCCCTTCTTGCATCCAAATAGTTATCTTTGTTGATGGTTTGCAATAGAGGCAAATTTTTTTATGCTTAATATTGTTCTGCTCTTGGTAGCTTTCTTTGCTGTTACTAATACTTTGCTGTCACCATAGAAACAATTTAGGAGGAATGTTGGAATTACAGAGTTTTTCTGCATTCAATTTTATTTCATTTTCTGTCCAACTGTATAAATTATAGAAAAATGTTGCACATGTTAAATTGCAGACTATATCAGTTACAAATGCTGTTTTATTTTGTGGTATAGATTTTCTCTCCTACAGGAATTCAGCTTTAACACATTTTTTGCTTAAAATGTAGCCCCACAGAAGTGCATTGCATAGGAAACCTGCAATGAAAAAAAATCATATGGGCACCCTACAAAATTAGCAGTTATGTAGCCACTGGTTTAGATTGTGGTAAAACTTACTTTTGCAAGGGGGAAGGGGCAGGGCTATATTTCAACCTGACAGTGAAACAGAGAGAAGGCATAAGTACCAACAGTGGTGTCTCAAGGAGGCACTAAACACAGATTTAATGGGCCAATGCGTTTCAAAGATAGTCTTCCTCAGGAATAAATTACCTCTGGCTGCATTCACATGTAATGCTAAGTCATCATTTGCTTAGCTGTCCTGTGTTTTTAATGTGTGCGCCTGGTGGTAAGCAGCGCAGAAGCACCAACAGGATTGGTTTCTCTGCTCCTCGGGTTCCATCCTGCTCTCTGCAGAACTCTCAGCAGGATTTAACCTGCCATTCATCAGCTGATGAGTGAGGGTGAAGGTTAAAATCCTGCTGCTTTGACTTGGCTCACCAGTTCTCTGTGGGTGCAGACCAACACCGAACCCCTCCTCTTCCTGCCAGCTGACATCACCACCATTGGGTGATGACAGCTGATTGACAGGTGGGCAAGATTTTGGCGAAATGGCCTCATGGGTTGGAGCCCCTTGGGGACCCAGGTGGACCAGCAGGCTGGAGGTTCCCCACTCCTGGTTTAAATAAGCTTAATACCAGTAAGCTATGGACCATAGATGTACTGCACAGTCATCTCTATCAGGGTATAATCCCAGGTGCCTTATATTTTCTGATTTGGGCACTACAAAGAAACCAGTGGGACCTGCAATAAAATGTTGCAGTGTAGCCTCACTTCCCAACATGAGTCCATCTGTTTAGGATTTCAGCCAGGCCTCCAGGATACTCCATTCAATTCTACCAGTGGTTTGGGCAACATACAGTTTGTCACAGGATCGTTGGGTTGTGTGTACCAGATAAGTGCTACCACAGTTGGTAAAATCTCTGCGTCTTTACTGCTTGTTGTTAAGAGGACTGCCAGAGAAGGGAGGGGGGATTTTAAAAAGGTATCCTAGTGAAGAACTTTTTATTATTTATTTATTTATAAATAAAATTTTGCTATTATTATATGCCACTTAGTAAAAACAAAATATCGTTTACATTAAATAGCATAACATGCTTATTTTCAAATAGCAATGAAAATAGACTTTGAAACAAACAGACCTAATAAAGTTATAAAAATATGGATAAAATCATCAGTTTTAAAATCAGGTATATATAATTAAACTGGGTAGATGTGTAATTATTTCAGAACGTCATTCACCACGGTCTTCACATGTGGGTGGTTGCAGCTGGCAAGGCTGGCAAGAGTCCAAAGTGCCTGTAGCTTGGGCAACATCTTAGCTGGAGAAGACAGTGGCCCACTCCCAAGAGGGGGAATCTGAAAGAGGAGGTGACCTTCCTGGAGCCCATGGAGGAGGAGATATCCATGGAAAGGAAGGCTGAGTGGAGGAGAGAGAGTCTGCCTTGTGCAACTGCCATGCTCTGGAGCTGGTGTGATGGTAGTAGGAGCGTCTCCACTTGAAAGCGTGTCTCCAGCCCCATCCACCCCCATTATTCAACCTGGACAACTGAGGTCCAGTGCCGAGGGCCTTCTGGTGGTTCACTCACTGCGAGAACCAGACAGGGAACAAGACAGAGGGCCTTCTCGGTAGTGGCACCTGCCCTGTGGAATCCCCTCCCATCAGATGTCAAAGAAATCAACAACTATCTGACATTTAGAAGGCAGCCCTGCTTAGGGAAGTTTTTAATGACTGATATTTTAAGGTATTTTAAATCTTTTGTTGGAAGCCACCCAGAGTGGCTGGGGAAACCCAGCCAAATGGGCAGGGTATTATTATTATTATTATTATTATTATTATTGGCCTGGGTCCTGAAGACTCTTCCAAATGTTGCAGGATCTGAGTCTTTCTCTTCTGTCCCAAATAGAAGACAGCTGAGCTCAGGAAGGTACTGACAGAATTGACATGGTGGCAGTAGCCTTGGCTGCCATCTCCAACAGCATGGTGTTTTAGACAGTCCTTTTCAGTATAAATGTAATAGAGTCCAATAAATTCTAAATATTTTTTGTTGTGTAAGATCCATAGACACCTTTGGTACAGAAGCTGAAACACTTCCCACTGTCTAGGTAATATAGGAACCTCAAATTCTTTGTTCCACTCATTTCTTGAAATCTGCATATCAAATTGATTTACTGATAGCAAATATCTCTAAAAAGTAATCATGGGCTTTTTCATTTCAGAGGATTTGACCAATATTTCTAATATCTCTGGTATCTCAAAAGCCATAAAAGCCACTCCTTCTCTCCTTGGGCTGCTGTGCCTTCCAGAACTTCATGCCAAGGGAGCTGAACAAGGACAGCCGTAGGATGAGGAGAATGGGCCTCTTGCTTTGTCATACATAAAAGTTAGAACATGAAGTCTGGCAATCCCATGTGTCTGTGACTACAACTGCTTAATGAAAGTCACTACTGTTGCCAGTTGTGCTTCTGTTCTTTGGATACCGTCCTAGGAAGTATCACAAACAACATTTACTGTATTGCTCCCACCCACTCACAACTAAAGCTGGTGTGATGATAAAGCAAGCGAGTGTTGCTGACATGTGTAGGACCAATAGAGAGAGATGCTGGCACATTAACCAGCAGATCCTGGCATTCATCCAAATGGAAATGGGGCTGCCTGGCTGGTTCTTGAAGGCGAGGCTAGGCCACAGGTAGTCCTGTTAGGGCAGGGGGTTGGCAACCTTTAAAGGCCAGTGGGCACATTTGAAATTTTGATAAAACGCTGTAGGCGTCTTTCACAAAATGGCATAATATAAGACTGCTGCCACATCTAAAAGAGCAGTAAAAGAGACAG